CCCCTCCTCCTCTCTTCCACCAGGGCTTCCCCTTCTTCCCTCTTCCACCAGGCTGTCCTTCCCTCGTTCCATCCCCCAATCCTTGTGTACTATCTCCTTCAAGTTTCTTTTTTATTAAGTTCTATTTTTCTATCATTTTCTTATTTATACCCCTATAAATAAGCGAGTTAAAATGTGGGTCTGTAGATGCTTGATAACCTCAGTCGACGCCTGACCACGGTGGAGGGCGGACGTGGGGACGAGCGCGCTGCGTGCTGTACCTCTTAACTCATTATATTTTGCCAGCTGATCCATTTGATGTTTCTTTGAACTTTTTTAAAGCATTTAAATAGGTAAAAAAAATAGCGATATTTTACTTATTCAAATAGTGGCTAATACTGATTTGCATTTGGTTGTCTTATTTCATGTTTCCATCACGTAATTCTCTTTCGTTTTCTGCTTGAATTGTCTGTAATTAGGCTGTTTAGAAATTTGTATTTTTAAAGTTGGCTTGGTTTACATGGTTCTGTTCTTGCCTTTCGTCTCTCACGTGTGGCCCGACTTCCATGTGTGGGACCCACACGTTTGGCCTGACTCCCATATATGGGTCCCACACCTGTGGCCATTCTCTGCTTCTCATATACATCATTCTCTTGATGTATACCATATTTATATATGTATACCATATGTATACCACATGTTGCTGGGAATGTTGTTTCTCTCGTGTTATGGTTTTAAAGTTCTCGTGTATAAACAGTATCCACGCACCTGTTTTATGGTTCCTTAATTGGTGTATGCTATAGGCCTAGGGGGTCGTAATGTGCCGCAGGAAGAAAGAGCCTTAATCTCCTGTATAAACTCCTCCTATTGATAATTATTTACTTGCTCCTGTACAAACGCTCTGTTGCGTTATTCGTTCGTTGCTTGATTAGGAGGAAATCTGGGAGATTATATATATATATATATATATATATATATATATATATATATATATATATATATATATATATATATATATTATATATATATATATATATATATATATATATATATATATATATATATATATATATATATTATATATATATATATTATATATATATATATATATATATATATATATATATATATATATATATATATATATATATATATATGGTGTTTATTTATCAATATATATTGCTCGGGAGTTTAAGTTTTGCTCTTCTACCTGTTGAATTTCCCTAGACACCTGAAGGTAATCAGACTGTTGGAAACAACTTCCTGGAGAGAACAGTTGCTCAAACTACCCCCTTCCCCGCCCCCCCCCCCCCCCCCTTCACAGGGCACGAGGCCTGGCCTTGACGGTGATCGCTCTATGACACCGTAGCGAGTGACTCTTCTGGCTGTGATGATTGGCAGTTTGCATTACATTACCCGCGACGGCTACTCTGTGGTGATGGCTAAAGTTATCACCGAGTGGCCGTTGGGGGGAGGGAGGGCGGGGAGGGGGGAGAAGCCGAAGGAGAAGAATGTAAGTTGAAGATGCGTCGGCCACCTGAGACAACTGGTTGTTAGCGTGTGTAATGACCAAGTTCCAGACACCGTCACGTGACCACATCGAGGTCCGGGGGGGGGGGTCGGAGGCGAGACAGGAAGAGGAAAAGTGGTGGAAATATTGAACACTATTCCCTTCATTTTGAACACGCTTGTCTGTATAATCTACACCATTTATTATATCATAACTTTCTCTATATTCCTCATTTCTATGTTTTCCTTTCCGTCTCCTATACCTCTTTTTATCTTCTTAACTAACAAAAATATCATTAAATCAAGGCAAGTGGTGCCCAACCATTTGGACGGTCGAGGATTGATCGCCGACCTGCATGAAGTGACCGTCGCTCTACCGTCCAGCCCAAGTGGTTGGGCACCATTCGTCCCCCCCCCCCCCTCTCGTTGTGGGGGAAAACCTGACTCCAATAACTAATAATTAAATATATACTTCGATAGCTATGAAGGACCACAACTTTTTGAGAAAAAGTGGAAAACAAAATAAAACAATGGAAAAACTGATCCCAAGAACTAGTGTCCTATGGATCTTAGTGAAACTGTATTTCTTATATAAATGGAGTCAAATTAACCTACACAAAATTGGGGGGTTACATGCTAAAAGATTAATACATCCCTAGCATTATTCTGGTGCTGGTTCTTCACCAGAGTAAATATGAAAGTAAATAAGGTTGATTGTAATAGATTAATTGGAGGTAAATGCACCTCAATATACTGCTGGATAGAATAGTACAGTATATATAGATCAATGGGTTAATATAATAGATCTCTTTTGGGAGATCACTACTGTAACTACAGAGTTATTGCTACAGATAAAAAAGGGACAGCTTAGCTGTAAATCTAGAGAGGTGTAATCAGTTGCCACGCTCCACCGACGACGTGTTGCATAGGGCAAATTGTTTCACATGAAGGTGGGGAGCCTAGCACCTCGGTTGGCGTCGCCTTGTTACTGAAAGGCAATTACATTGTAGAAATCTTCTACATAATAGGTAACTACAAATGCATCCTAAATTATAAGGATAACTGTAGAAATCTTCAGCCAATATCTGTGCAATTTATATTCAAGCACTGTAAATTCCTTCTGTAGAAAACAATGAAAATAATCACCTATTTAGATGGTAAATTTACTAAAGACACGTACGGGATTATATTATTTTATATACGGCCTAACGACAACTGGCCTAAATGTTAACTGTGGCCACATGATAACAGGTGAACCTAGCTGCCGAGCCGCGTGTCCGTTGATGTGGAGACTTGAGCAATTCTTCGTCCTCCAGCTGCTGCTTGAAAGGCGTTGACTATGGAATTGCAGATATGCTAGTCTGGGACACGGCTATATCATGTCAGATAACGTGGCACCGCTCTACTGGTCGTGGGAGCGAAATAAGTAGGATCAAAACGTAGCTCTGCTACACGCTGTCAATGGCGTCCGAGTCGTGCTCTCTCGTTCTGTCGTGACGCTCTCCCGTCTTCCTCCTCTTCCTCATTGCGCATGCGCGGCTCTCGACAGACATCTCGAGCGTAAATGGATATGTATATATCGCAATTGACTAAGGAAGGAAGAGGTAGTGACGAGTATTAATATCACATTAAATTCTTCTGTGATAAAATAGAATTTCTCGTAACATAAATTGGTTTATTAAAGTTGTGCAGCTAATCGAGGAAATTAAAGTAAAATCATTTACATTAAAGTAATTTCCTCTGGAATGTTTAATATGAACTAAATAAGGGAGTTCCAGTAAGTAGTAGTATACTACGAAATTAAACTTATTAGTAAGTAACTATTTTTAGTAAAGGAAATGATAAACTGGATTCTTGTTATAAATCCAACTAAATGTGGAGAGAATTCATGTTACTGCCGGTCGGCCGAGCGGACAGCACACTGGACTTGTGATCCTGTGGTCCTGGGTTCGATCCCGGGCGCCGACGAGAAACAATGGGCAAAGTTTCTTTCACCCTATGCCCCTGTTACCTAGGAGTGAAATAGGTACCTGGGTGTTAGTCAGCTGTCACGGGCTGCTTCCTGGGGGTGGAGGCCTGGTCGAGGACCGGGCCGCGGGGACACTAAAGCGCCGAAATCATCTTAAGATAACCTTAAGATAAGATACTGCCTGTCGTTCCTCACATCGTCACTCTGACTAGGAAGGATCTGACAATATGTCTAAATAAATCATGATAATGATTAAATCTACAAGTTAGTAATTTTAGTAACTACTTGTGGTTAATACAAAGGTTGTATAAAATACAAAGATGTATAAAACTGTTGGTTATTTCCAACACTCGTCCCGTCCAAAATTCGTATCTTGATCCCTTCCAAGTGCTATATAGTCGTAATGGCTTCCCTGGAAACACAAACCGAAACTGTCTCTATTTTCCGCTTTTTACAACTTGTAATAAAGTTGTTAAATCTTGGCTTAACGTGTTAATGACGAACTAGAACGTTGTTGCAACTTGCTATATTGGTTGTTATAACTGGTTAGGAAGTGTTAAAACTTGTTCAAACGTTGTACCAACGTCGTAGTTTCGGTGTGTGTTTGGCGGGTTGGCGCTTTCTCCTAATAGTTCGCAACCCCCCCCCCCCCCCTTTTCGCCGTATCTTCCAGGCTATCCAACAGCACGGTGGAGAGTTCACCGTTCAAGTGGTTAGTTACCATTCCGGACGCCTATCCCAGCTGCTATCCCAGCCTTGCTATCCCGATCTTGCTATCCCGACCTTGCTATCCCAACCTTGCTATCCCGACAGAGTTCAAGTACGTTTATCGAGACAATAAATTCTCAAAGGGATAGAGTAGCTTAGGCTAGTTCTACCCTTCGGACTTGGCCTTGTATCCCATGTAGACGGTAAGGGGGTGGTTCCCCCTTGCTTATGTTAAGATAAGCATCTTATTGCTTCGTAATTACAATTATTACTTAACCTATACCTATAATAGGTTAAGTAATAATTGTAATTACGAAGCAATAAGATCCTTATCTTAACATACTAAGAAGGTTAGGTAAGGTCGGTGTTTTCTATGAAGCTTTTCAAGGTAAACTAGTATGTTTAGTATGTCACATATGCACGTATTTAATAAGTCAATATTGACTATACGAAAGTGCGAGAACGGGTTGGGTTCCCGGCAGTTATGCAAGGTTTACTGTAGATCGGTGTAGTGAGTAGATTGTACTCTGTGTAGACCTATCAGCCAGATAACGGTTTACACGACCTATTGTTGCCACATTGTGATTGTACTCGTTGGGTACAATCAAAATCAACAATCAATCATGATCAAAATACAATTACAATTCTCACTCGAATATTCATACAAGTTATTCAATCCAATTAGATTTTTTTTTTTTTCAAGGCCAGTAATAACTTTACAAAACTGGTCTATATTTATCTCAGAAACTAAATGATAATAAAATAAATAATAAAACTAACTTGTTTAATAAAGTTTTATTACAAAAATATAAACAAATTCATTTTAATTGGTTATAAATATCATAAGCGTTTAATTCTTTTTCATAAATATAGTGATTTGGGTCTATATAAACATTAGTAATTCAGTTCCGCATTATCAAACACTACACATTGTTAAACATTATACGTTGTCAGCGGTATTGTTGTTAACATTGTACATTGTAGTGTTCAGATAGTGATAACAATGAACATTGGAGTGTGTTTAAAGACACACACACACACATCTCACACATTCTTAGTGTTGCAACTTGAGTGTTCACCACAGTGTTCACTGACAATACTTGAACATTGTTACAGGGCTGCTATAGCGTTAGTGCTGCTAACTACTGATACATTTCGGGACCAAAGAGCCAAAGCACAACTAGGTGAAAACATTAGTGCTATATGGTGTATTTACCTCCACAGAAATGGTGTGTGTATTTCAAGAATACTTTGTGGACATCAACAAGTGAGTCCAAGAGCTAAGGGCTCTTGGAACCAAGGGCTCTTGGACACCCCGTCTTTCTAACCATTGGATGTCTAATGTACTCTCTACCTGTGTTACCTTGAATGCCTCTTATATAAAAAGCAAGTTAGGTTGGGTGGAAATATGAGGCCGCAGCGGTGTCTCCCACAGGAGGGCAGCCGCGGCTCCCGGGTGTCTGTCCGCCTCTGTATTCTGCGACTGAATTGCAAAAGCATTGATAGACAAATAAAAAACATACAAATTTATGATCTACATAAACAATACAATTATCCCGGTATGGGACCAAAGTATTGCAGGTAAACCCAAGTATCCTGGTATTCCGGGTGTCTTGGAGGTATACTCAGTAGCTGGGCTGGAGGAGACCTCGTGGTCTCCGCTTGAGTCTGGAGTGAGCCGTCTTGAAGACACTCATCATCTTCCTGGCCGAGTAAGGACACTTGGAGTACAGCTGGCGGCACTCGTCCTGCGACCCGCGGGAGAACCCCACGAAGGAGGCGTAGGCGTAGTAGAGCTCCGGCGTCGTCATCACCTGCAGGTCCTCAGTCGACACCACGCCCCTGGGAGATGGTTGGTCAGGTGTTATGGTGGCCAGGGTGAGCGAGAGAGACAGAGGAAGGGACATATTGACAGAAATGTGGTCGGATTTGTCGGTAGGTTGGTGAGAGAGTTCGAGTGGCGCAGTAAAGGGAAGAAAGACTTGTTGACCAGACCACACACTAGAAGGTGAAGGGACGACGACGTTTCGGTCCGTCCTGGATCATTCTCAAGTCGATTGTGTTATGGTCCAGGACGGACCGAAACGTGGTCGTCCCTTCACCTTCTAGTGTGTGGTCTGGTCACCATAATCTAGGTGAGGTAACAGGCGCACGCCAACAATGGGAGCGGTGGACGGGGCCGGAAGTTAAGAGTGCCCAGGTTAATTAGACTCGTCACAGGTAATGACATTGGTGGGCAAATGATGTAAAGGAATCCCAGGTATCCGGTAATGGCCCGAAGGGGGGAGGGAGGAGGGGGGAGGTAACAAGCCACCCCGCCCCCCAGGCAGGAGGGAGGGGGGGGTGACATGGGGGGCAGGGGGGAGGAGTAGTGTAGTGTAAGGGAGAGGAGGTCTCTCGAGGAACGGAAAAGGATGGCGTGGAAGGGGCCGGGGGAAGAAAACGGGGGAAAGGTGCTGGAAGAGCATGGATGGATGCTGGAAGAGAACTCAGAATGGAAAGAAGGGAATACAGAGAGTGTAAGCTAAGAGAAATACAAAGGGGGCGGGCGGGGAAGGAACAAAACAGATAGATGTCTAAACGACTCATAATTCAGGATCCCGGGTTCGATTCCCAGCCAGGACAAAATGGTTGGGCACCGTTTCTTTTCACCTAATGTCTCTGTTTACCTAGCACTAAATAAGTACCCGGTAGTTAGGACACTGTTATTGGGTCGTATCCTGGGCAAGGTCAGTCGTTCGACTTTAGGGGAGGGAAGGGTCTAGATATAAGCCTAAAGATATAACGCTCCAGTGATTATTCTTGCCTCTTTTAGGCCTAATTTAAATTATGCAATTTAGTTTAGATGCGGGAAAGACCTGGGTAAATACCGGTTTTGGAAACAGGGCTGTTAGAGCTATGGAAGCAATTACCGGGTAGCATAATTGGTGTGGGGTCGTTGGATTGTTTCAAGTGTAGGTTAGACCTATACGAGGCCAGTCATGAATTTACAAGAACCATAACTAAGGCATGTTGAACCCTGGCGTCAAAAGCGGTATTCGAGGTCAAAGGTCAGAGTCCGCGGAAACATCTTTTATGTTGGCTTGATGTTGACCTTTGACACAATGAGCCGCTCATGGATGTATTAAGGCCACCAAAAGAGCTTACTGACCAACCGGTGAATACACTTTACTCCTGAACATAGTTTACGGCCGAAGTATACTTAGAAGCGCATATATACACCCCTCCCCCCCAAGAAATGAGGTATACATCTCCCGGTGTGTGTAGATATGTGTATATGGTGTATGTTATTACACACAGAAATCACAATTGCGTGATGCATCAAATGAACAAATCCACAGGGGCCGTGACGAGGATTCGAACCTGCGTCCGAGACCATCCCAAACGCTGCCTTAATGGACTGAGCTACGACATGAAAAAAAATAGAGTTTGGTTTCAACTTTTTCCCCACGTCGTAGCTCAGTCGATTAAGGCAGTGTCTGGGATGCTCTCGGACGCAGGTTCGAATCCTCGTCACGGCCCTTGTGGATTTGTTCGTGAATGGTATGTGTGGGTGTCTCACTTGAAGTAGGAGAGCAGGAGCTTCTCCTTGTCATCAAGTGGGTTCCCGGCCTTGGCGGCCAGCTCGCACGTCAACCTCAAGGAACACCAGTCGTTGTCCTTGGCGAAGATCCTCTCCATGTCGGACTCCAGGTCTGGGTCGTCCCGCGCCCCCGACACCACTGAGCTCAGGTCACGCTTTCTGGGGGGGACAGGATTAATTAAGGTCAGGGGTCATTTGCAACACGGCATGCCGCTCATAGCTGGTGTTGGTGTGTTGCGGGGTGTTGAGATGACCAGTGAGTATGTTGTGTGGTTTATTTCCGACAAAATGTACTGTGTGTTTTTTTTACTTTTTTTTGTAGGGGCATTCCTGTGCGGACCCTAAGCCTTCCCTTGTGGAAGTATTAACTAATTAACTTATTAACTCTGTGTGTGTGTGTGTGTGTGTGTGTGTGTGTGTGTGTGTGTGTGTGTGTGTGTGTGTGTGTGTGTGTGTGTGTGTGTGTGTGTGTGTGTGTGTGTGTGTGTGTGTGTGTGTATTCACCTAGTTGTGTTTGCGGGGGTTAAGCTCTGACTCTGGTCCCGCCTCTCAACCGTCAGTCAACTGGTGTGTGTGTGTATAAGACACATATAAGACAGTGTTGTTCTTGGTCCATAACTTACCTTCGTCCGGCGAAGAGGATAGCGTGTGCTATAGTGAAGAGGGTGGCGGCGGTGGCAGCTCCCAGGCTCCCGTAGTACAGAGCGCCCTCACCTGTAAAACAATAATGTGATTGTACGCATACACGCGCACGGACACGCATACACACGCACGCACACACGCACGAACACGCGCGTTTAAATATTTATTTCATATGGGTTTTTGGGTGACAGGTTGGGTATTCCCAAGATGGGTTTTAAAAATAGAACTTCAGCTCCTTGGCTCCAGTACATAACCATTGGGTTTCTGCTGCACTAATTCCTGGTCATCTCAGTTCCCTTTCTTATCTGCTCTTAAAAGTGTGTCTGGAGTTAGCTAGTACTTTCTCTTGCTCAAGTTCCTCAAATACATTCGCTATTTTCACACTGAAGAAATATGTCGTTATATCCCATTGAATGATATATATCTTCAGCCTCTACCCATGTCCACATATTCATCTGACTCATACTCAACATTCCGTATGCAGGCGATAAGTCACAATAACGTGGCTGAAGTATGTTGACCAGACCACACACTAGAAGTTGAAGGGACGACGACGTGACGTTTCGGTCCGTCTTGGACCATTCTCAAGTCGATTGTGACTTGATGCATCTCTCACAATCGACTTGAGAATGGTCCAGGACGGACCGAAACGTCACGTCGTCGTCCCTTCAACTTCTAGTGTGTGGTCTGGTCAACTCAACATTCCGTCTTCATCTGTTGTCAATTCCACTAAAAATCTTGCATCTCTTGGCTATTACTTTCTATCTCTTTCCTGTCGTGTTGGAAGGTCAAATTATGTTCATGTTGTCTCAAATATTGTTCATTTTAGTTCAAGGAATGTCCGTATACCGAACATGTGTATCCTTTCCAGCACCGTTGCATCCATTTATAATTTGAGACTCCATGCTGGGACTGTTGCATTCTATGCAACAGGACTGTTGCACAGGACCACCACAGTGCAAGTCCTGCACACCCACACACTAGACAGGACCACCACAGTGCAAGTCCTGCACACCCACACACTAGACAGGACCACCACAGTGCAAGTCCTGCACGCCCCACACACTAGACAGGACCACCACAGTGCAAGTCCTGCACGCCCACACACTAGACAGGACCACCACAGTGCAAGTCCTGCACGCCCCACACACTAGACAGGACCACCACAGTGCAAGTCCTGCACGCCCCACACACTAGACAGGACCACCACAGTGCAAGTCCTGCACGCCCCACACACTAGACAGGACCACCACAGTGCAAGTCCTGCACGCCCACACACTAGACAGGACCACCACAGTGCAAGTCCTGCACGCCCCACACACTAGACAGGACCACCACAGTGCAAGTCCTGCACGCCCCACACACTAGACAGGACCACCACAGTGCAAGTCCTGCACGCCCCACACACTAGACAGGACCACCACAGTGCAAGTCCTGCACGCCCCACACACTAGACAGGACCACCACAGTGCAAGTCCTGCACGCCCCACACACTAGACAGGACCACCACAGTGCAAGTCCTGCACGCCCCACACACTAGACAGGACCACCACAAGCCAAGCCGTGCGCGCCCTCAACACTGGACAAAACTCCAAGTGGACAGTTGATAACGAAGGCCCAGCTGGGCACCGTTGTTGTTCCTGACAAACACGACAGTAACAACGGAACATTAACCTTCTGTCGCCATCTATAACACCCCCCGACCCCTCACCCCCTCCCCACTCCCCGGGGCTCAAACAATTATTCCCTCTGAAAATGTCCACCTCCCCGCCTCCCTGATACAACTGTCCATCCGTCCAGAGTGCCTAGGGCGACCGTCTGCCAGCGAAGGAGAAGAAAATTTGCCGTATTGGGTGCGCCGGATACCACTATCTTGCTCTACCAAATACTCTGGTTATCGGGAAAAAATCCCCCGGGGTAGTGAACATGGGGGAAGCAGCAGCATGGGGCGAGATGAAGCACTATAACAGCTTCCAGGAGGCTCACGGCGGGGCAGGTCAGCGCCCGTCCCTGTGCTCTTGCTCCCTAAGGCCCTCCGGGAGAAGCAACTTCGGTTTTCCTTTTGTCACGGGGCAATAGGTTTGAGGGACGAGTGTAAATTGTGATTTTTCAATAGTGTTTGAAGTTTGGTGTGGTGAAGGCTGTGCGGAACACTATGTGTACCTGGAAAACGGGTACCACTACATGCTGACTAGAATGATACAGTAGACATAGTTTTCCTGTTGGTTGTCGTCAGACATGCGGGCAGGACATTGTGAGGGGAAAACTCTCAAATTATTAGCCATAACTGGATCAACCTTAAAGTTCATTTCTCACTGACCACACCCTGGCTCTCTGGACCTTCTCCTTCGACAATACTGCTCCAGCCACACACAACCTGCACCACTGAGAGTCCTTGCTAGCTGGACTGACTCCTTATCAACACTCGCACAACTTTCCTAGTTAGTGTTGTAAATTGGTGATGATCCTGACCGTGTTTCGTCACATCTGAGTTTAATGACGGAGTCGTCGCACTCAGGTGTGTCAGGTGTGTCAGGTGTGTGTGTGTGATGACCAGACAACACACTAGAAGGTGAAGGGACGACGATGTTTCCGTCCGTCCTGGACCATTCTCACAATCGACTTGAGAATGGTCCAGGACGGACCGAAACGTCGTCGTCCCTTCACCTTCTAGTGTGTGGTCTGGTCAACATACTTTAGCCACGTTATTGTGACTCATCGCCTGTGTGTGTGTGTGATGACGGAGTTCTTGACTCAAGTTTCACCTCGATCTGTGTGACCTAGGTGCTGGTACCTAATTTATGAACCCAGTGCATGAGATCGAATCCAGCGACATCAGACCCAACCCAATCTTGGCTGATTAAAGGCATCTATCGAAAAAACCTTCCCTCTAAAGTAGACTCCCATTGCATAACGGGGGAATCGAGCCACATACCTAGAAGAGCCCTCGATATACAGCCGTTCTCCTAATTGCTTTACGACGATAGTTTAGGGAACCTCGTGACCTCGTCCACGTTGTTGAGATGGTGCTGGAATGACTGTTGCGGCCCCGCTGAGGCTACGTGTCACCACGTGTCTGGTAATGTGCTCCTATTGGTTGGCATCACTGTTGCCTCAACACCATTGGTCGAGTTAATCAGAACTCGCCTTGGATTGGTCAATAGTGTTAATTATAAACATCGAGAGTATCTGATTGGCCTGTTGGATACTTACTCTAACACGGCCCTCTGACTCCAGAACACGAAAACATGTTATTAGTACGACGAAACCTTAGAAATTAATGTAAACACCTGAGCAGCTCAAGGCGCACGGGTAAATGAGAGGAAGGAAAACTCTCTTCTCCTCCACCTACTGGAAATTTTCTTCCAGTAGGTGGAGGAGGAGAGCGTCTTGTCTTCTGACGGGTTATCTTGAGATGATTATCTTGAGATGATTTCGGGGCTTTAGTGTCCCCGCGGCCCGGTCCTCGACCAGGCCTCCACCCCCAGGAAGCAGCCCGTGACAGCTGACTAACACCCAGGTACCTATTTTACTGCTAAGTAACGGGTGGGGAGGTACGGGAAACATTTCCGTACCCTAGTACAGTCGTTTGGTTTTCAATGTGATGAATCCTGGCCGTGTTTCGTCACATCCGAATTTGATGACTCGGTTATTTTGATGATTAGATTAATTCAGTCGCACCTTCCTGTTACTCCTACGGCGTAACGCCTTATTTAGAGTCCTCAAGAAGCACATAATAAAACTTGAAAGGGAGCATAAGGATGCAAAGATGCTGAAAGAACCACGTAGCTAAGGGCTACGTGGACGTAGCCCTTAGCTACGGTTCTTAGCACGTAGGTTCTTAGCACGTAGGTTCGCACTCTACGAACCACGTAGGTTCGTAGGTTAGAACCACGTAGGTTCTTAGCTAAGAACCACGTAGTAAGGGCTAAGGAATGGCCCTTACGACCCTGAGAACGGTGAACTGAAGAGGAGATATGACGGAGACATATAAAATACTTAGTGGAACTAACAAGGCTGAAAATGAGGAAATGTAAACCATGATTAACAATAGCAATAGAGGACATGGATGGTAGTTAGAGACTCTGACGAGCCAATAACACGTAAACAGCTACTCACTACTATATGATCACTGGGAGGGGGGGGGGACTTGTATAGCGGGAACCAGTACACTAGAGACTAATGGAAGACGAGGTCCAAGAGATAAGTTCGACCTTTCAGGCTCAAATAGGTGAGTACGCGGCAGTATAGTTGGTTTCGTTCTATACTCATAATCGGGAATTCCGGGTTCGAATCCCGGGCGGGACAGAAATGGTTGGGCACATTTCCGTTCACCTAATAGCTCTGTTCACCTATAGTAGAGTTGCATTCTGGGGAGGGTCAGTAATTCGACCTGGGTGGGGTTAGCCATCTCGATATAAACCTAACATGTATATACACAGGCTGTCTGTCCCCGACAAAATAAATTATTATATCATTATATTATAGTAAAGCAGTGTTAGAGTGAGGATTTAGTTGCAATATGATGAAATATTGCTAATAGGTGGATGGAAACATGCAAGTTTGCCACTGAGTGTAACGGATTGGGGACGAAAGACCACATAAATATATCCGCTGGTGACCTGCCCTGGTGAGTCACAGTGGGAGTCAGGTGGGACCAGGTGACGGCAGGTGGTCAGGGGGGACGAGGCCACGTACCTAGGGGCAGGTCGTTCTGGGTGGTAGCAAGTGGAAGGCGCCAGATGGAGGCGCCAGCGCCATCTGTTGTGAGGTAGACGAAGCGAGGCCGGGCCGGCTCGATGCCTCGAGGGTTGCCTGCGGAGGGAGAAATGTGTATTTACTATTTGTGTCTGCAGAATTTAGCTATTAGCTCTTGGACCCCGCCTTTCTGAACCAATCTATTTTTCCTCTATTATGTCTACTACATATATTTCTCTCTTACACACACGCACACACACACACACATCCCCAGGCAGCAGTTCGTGGCAGCTGCCTAACTTCCAGGTAATTATTTACTGCTAGATGAACAGGAAGATCAGGTTGAAAGAAACTCTGCCCATTTGTTTCTGATTAGGCCCGGAATCGAACCCGGACCCGAAGGACTACGACCCCCTCCCGCTGTCCACTCTGCCACGAACCTCCCCCCCCCCCTCTCCATCCCGCATGTACTTCACCTTCTTGAGAACACTTAAGAACACGTTTTTAATGGAAGATTCGTGAGCACTGTGCAGACACTGTGATCCGTGAGTGTTGGACACACACATAGTGAATGGTTCTTGAGCACAGGACACACACACACTGTCAAGATTAAGGAAGATGCCTGTGCGAGAGTTGCCTTACGTCTGAGACGCACTCCCTGCAGTCTCTCTTGAATTTCTGGGAGAAGTGTTTGCAAACCGCTGCGGACGAGCCTGGAGCCTAACCGGTCGTTCTCGACATGAACAAAGTCAACCCCTGTTAGAGTTGACAAATGTAATTAACCACATTCGCAAACAGAGTGGTAGACGGTTGGAACAAGTTAGGCGAGAAGGTGGTGGAGGCCAAGACCGTCAGTAGTTTCAAAGCGTTATATGACAAAGAGTGCTGGGAAGACGGGACGCCACGAGCGTAGCTCTCATCCTGTAACTATACTTAGGTAATTACACTTAGGTAACCACACTAGTAACTCCCTTCTACCACCGGGGTCATGGGGCCAGACAGAGGCTTGCGGGCCGGGCAGGAATAACCCTGCAAAAAAAAATAATAAAATAAAAAATACGGCCGCCGGTCGTAGGACTTGTTAAGAGTGTAGGGGAACTTTGGACAAAACAATAGCTTGCCCAACCACCGTTGAAGTATGACCAATCAAAGCCTTTTACCCCATTTAGCTGCTACGAGCTACTTAGCCTTGATTGGCTTGGCTTGTGGAGCCAGCGAGCCAGGCTTGCTTCTCTCGAAAAGCCTCATTGTACACCTGACTACTGCACTGGTCGCCTGAATACAGTCACATGTGTCAGCTTCTTGTTTAGTATTGTTTGCTATATTAAACCTATCAATAATTGAACTAAATTATCTTGTGCCGGACATGTTCTGCATTCTCCTGGCTCCATAACCATGCACCTTTGTCTAATACATAATCAGACATAGACCCTGTCCCGTCATAGACCCTGCCAGTCATCACTGGGATCATGGCCTGGGACCGCCAACCATCTACACAGCCACTTACGAAACCTGTCCATCTTTCCTCATTCATGGCGGCTTTGTTTACACTTACTATACAGTTTATGAGCCCCGAGGCACTACCAGGTCGTTTATAACAATAATAACCTGGAGTTGCCAAGTTCCGGTGCTCGTAAAGTGTTTAATAAGTGTGAAGAAAGCTGCCATCATTGAGGGGAAAAGATGTACAGGTTTCGTAAGTGGGTGCGTAAATGTTTGATGACTCCTGGCCTAGGTTGTCCTGATAGGCTAGAAGCTAGACGCATCAAGAAGTGCAGCACCTAGACGCCTGCAGCACTGTGTTGCCCTCTGTTACCGGTCTCAAGCAGCGGTGAAGCAGGGGGTGTCCGCGACACCTCCTCGGCGCCACCCACGCCGGTTCCAGTCGTAACACTTTATCCCGCCAAAGAGTCACGTGTTTCAAACAAGCATCTTGCGGTCACGTGGTCCTGGAGGGCTCTTATGTGTAATCGCCTAGTTGTGATTGCGGGAGTTGAGCTTCGGCTATTTGGGCCCGCCTCTCTACTGTCAATCAATTGTTTACTAACTATTTTTTTTCTACACACACACACACACACACACACACACACACACACACACACACACACACACACACACACACACACACACACACCTCAGGAAGCAGCCCGTGACACCTGACTAACTCCCAGGTACCTATTGCCGGTGTGTGTGTGCGTGTGCGCGCAGTTACAAATAAGCAGCTAGAGACGAAGAAAAAAAAAACAGAGAGAAAGTCCCAGGAGCGTCAAGGAGAAAGTCCCGCCAAAAAATCAAAATCAAATCATCCCAAGAAGAAGCGTGTGAAAACTGTCGCTTTAGCCGGGATTACCGTCACGCTCCAGTGGCGGGAACACTCCGCACGACACACACATTTGCTGGGGTAACAAGATTGATGATTGATGAAGATTAAGCCACCCAAAAGGTGGCACGGGCATGAATAGCCCGTAAGTGGTGGCCCTTTTGAGCCATTACCAGTATCAAGAGCTGATACTGAAGATCTGTGGAGTTGCGACTGTACCCTGCGTGACGGGAGATGTCTCCCGAGGGGGTAACAAGCTGTGGTCTCCTATAATATAATGTATAACAAGATATACGATATACACCCGTGTGTTAGAGAGCCACGATATGCAAATTATGAATGATTGACAGGTCTTACTTGTGTGTTTTATTGGCTATTCTGCTTGCGGGGGTTGAGCTCTGGCTCTTTGGTCCCGCCTCTCAACTGTCAATCAACTGGTGTTCAGGTTCCTGAGCCTACTGGGCTCTATCATATCTACATTTGAAACTGCACCGTGTTTGAGTACATTGGACTATTTTCTCCACAGTGTCTAAGGTTAACTTCACACACTGTCTGGCTGTGTGTGAAGTTAGCGTCTGTTTGTGCATGAGAAGTGTTGCAGCGTCACTCTTCAGTGTCCCAGCTACACGTGAGGGAATTGATTGTTGTTTTAGATTCAGCTACTCAGAACAAACGTTCCAAGTAGCACGGGCTATGGTGAGCCCGCAGCCCGTCCTCCAAACAAAGATCCAAAAGTGATTCCATGTACCCGCCAAACCCCCTGTTTATGAATGAAAAGCGGTTTACACACGACTCACAACTGCTGACGTTCGAACATATCCGGAACAAGTGCTTCACTGACGAATTTTGTTCGAATCACAACGCTATAAATGCTTCATCCACGTACTACAAATACAAATAATCGCCAACCAAACCTAAACACCTAACCTAACCTATGCCTATATATACACAATATGCTAATATATTATAATATTAATTTATACTTGAGAAAATTTCCGTTTTGAATGAACAGCATGTTAAAATTTATGAATGCGTCTGTGGGGCTGACCACTGAATGTAATGGACTTGAGTCGAGGACGGGTTGCAGCCCGTAGTGGGCTTACCTGGCACAGGAGCGAGGCTGTGTATGTGTGAAGGAATTAGTATCTGTGGTCACATTTATTGCTTCTTACGATAATTAACTCCACCTGAACAATGTACAACATCATTTGATTGTAATTACAAGAAGTACAGTCGGGTAGTACAGCGGGTTCGTTCTCGGCTCACAATTGGGAATTCCGTGTTCGAATCCCAAGCGGGACAGAAGTGGTTGGGTGCGTTTCCTACCACCGAATGCGCTGTTCACCTAGTAGTAAATAGGTACTTTGGAGTTAGTCAGTTTGTTGAGGGGCTGCATCCTGGGCGGGCAGTAAGTCGACCTTGGGGAGGGGAGAGGGGGGAGACCTCGATATAAGCCTAGCATGTGTATATACACAGGCTACCTGTCCCCTCAACACTGAATTGTAACAACTGATTTCGAATAGTAAAATATGCATTACTCCGTTTTCTGTGAAGGTGTTGCGCATAACAGAGAATGGCATGGATGGGGGACATAACTTGACGAAATACTTCCATTAGCATTTCAGGGCGAATAATCATTATAAACGGGTTTCTCATAGTCGGAGACAGAAAGCTGTTAGACTTATTGAGGACCTCCAGCCTTCCACCACCGCCCACGGTGTGGGTGATAGATATACAGGAATTAAATGTAACCATATGAACACAAATGTAATTCTATACATTACTTGGAGAGCTTCGGGGTGCTACTGTTAAAAGCCTCACGTGACTACCTGACCTGTCATACTCCAGACATCTATTTCCTCTAAAAGTAAAACATTTACCTGAGGGCCACTAATACTAGTGGCCTCGATGAGGACAGGAAGCCGGCGACTTGCCACAGGTCCGCGCCATTTGCCCTGATGATCTTTTCCTTCTGTATTTTAAAGCCCAGCAGAGTTGTGGCGTTTACGGCTTCGTCGGGTAGGCAGTTCTACGGGTTAACACTCCCTATGAGTGAAAAAGCACCTTCTGTTTTCTGTTAAAACACGTTAAAACATGTGAGGCATTTCTTATTTTAAGAAATTGTAATTTCCTTGGAAGGCATGATTAAGCGAACCTCCTCAGTTGTTCGTTGAATTCGGTCATCTTGAAAAGTTATTTAAACGTCTATGTCTAAGTCTGTGTGGATGTGAACTATAGGACCTTGAAGATGCTGATCCTGGACATTGTCAAGGTGACTCCTGGGTGACCATCCTCGCGCTCATTACAATCTCATACCTGGCCTCATGTCCACACCTGCACTTGAAGACGTCGCTAAAGAATGATATCCGTTTGTTAGAAGAGTCACCCATCCATCAAACCCAATCAATTTTTTCTTTTTAGGCACTCGCTTGTCACTGACCATTCCAACTTTCTCAGAAATATAAACTTATTTGTCAGGCAATATAAGTTAGTATATATAATGGTGCAGCAGGTATATATATATAGTCTGCAGAGATAGCAGTAAGACCCCCTCCGCCATTGGGCTGGATGGTAGAGCAACGGTCTTGGGTCATGCAGGTCGGTGTTCAATCCCAGACTTCAAGATTGTAGCCTTTTGTTGAATTGTTTGAATGTTTATTGCAAATTGTCTATATACCTAGTCATACAAGTATTTGTGTGTGCGTCTGGTAACATACTACATGTGTAAAGGAAGAAATATATATGTTTATCAGAATGTTCGGTAATATGGTTATTGTTTGTGATGTGTGTCTATATATATATATGAACACGTTGTACTGAACGGGGTGAGAATAGGTTGAGCTACCTCATCCCTTTGTGTGTATTTTATCTCAATAAACTTATTTCAATTTCAATCCCCGACCGTCCAAGTGGTTGGGCACCATTCCTTCCCCTCGTCCCATCCCAAATCCTTATCCTGACCCCTTCCCAGTGCTATATAGTCGTAATGGCTTGGCGCTTCTCCTAATAGTTCCCCCCCCCCCCCACCCCCCTGCCCCAGCTGGATATTTGTACTCTTGAATGAACTACTCTCACAGTGCGACGGCTTACTGACACACGTGTTGAGAGCTACTGAAGTCAGACTTATGTGGTATGAACTGTGTTGGGAGGGATTTTGATCCTCCATAGACACTAGAGTCAGTTAACGGAGAGTGTTGAGGGTTAAACAAAATTGTATAAATTCATTGAATGGTTAGGATTCAATACTTTAAATACTTTACAATACTTTAAAATGTATTTTCATCGTCAGATGTTTCATATTGTTGTCATTGTGAATTTTCTCTTAGTTTAGTAATTTACTGTAAATGTATGTAAACTTGGCCAACCATTAATATAAAAAAACAGAGATTTAAGAGTAATGTTATTGATCGATAAATTGGTTGAGAGGAAACGGTTTCAGAAACACATAATGGGCTTAGGAACTGTAGCCCAAAATCCACTCTGCTGAGTTACAGTCATGATAGGCTAGTCACACAGCCTAATGTATGTGTGTAAATCACGAAAGTTAACACGTGATGATGTGACAGTGTCAGACCACGGAGGAAGAATTGAAACAGGAATTTCTTTAAGTACTTTCGTATTTAATAATACATCTTCAGAAGGGTATGTATACATCTTCATCTTCAGAAGCCTAATGTATATTATGTTAAGAGAGAGACCGACCACAAATACGCTCGCTTAGGGTAAGTTGCTCACACACGCAGGGCAGCTGTGTGAGTAATGGGGGGTGGGGGGGGGGGAGATTACAGCACCCCATTATTCCCCCACACTCCCCCCACACACCCATCCAAACACATCCATACCCTGTTTATTTAGCCATTTTGTGAGCACACCTTGAACCAGGCGAACAATATCAGTTATGAATAAAGTGGAATAATGAGCATCGTTTTCCGCACTGATAATTGTAATTAGCAAAGGAGAACTATTTTCAAATTGTGGTGACTACGAGTGAGTGAGAATTAGGTGGGGAGGGGTAGAAATAGCCTAAACCTTAAACCTTAAACCTTAAACGAAATAGCCTATCCATTTGAGATGTATTTTTTTCTTGTCTCAATAAACATACTTGAACTTGAGGTAGTGAGGTATATCTCTTTATGCCCCCCAACTGTTGGGCTCTATTGTGACTTACAATATACTTGAACTAATCATTAAGTTGGCGAGATTGATAAGGAACGCTAGATTAAAAGCTGGTGAATAAAGGTACTTGAGATGCACTGTTGATCTCTTACATAGTGTCTGACGCCATGTGGGGAGCGGTAAACTGCCTCCGCTGACCATCTTAAAAGATCCTTTTATGTGTCTTGGCACTTATCCTTTCGTCTTTAGATAAGGTATGCGGGCGGGGCGATGACTGCTCTTGAACCCACCCGACCCCTTACAAATTACGTCGCTTGTCGCCGGTATTATGTGCCTCTGTAATCCTTTACGCCCACGGGATGGGTATGGGATGCATAATAAAGAAAAACATTGAATTGAATGTCGCTCGTATGCGCACTCAGGCTAAAAATCGACGTAATTCAAAATGAAATCGGTTCACGAAAGTGATGTACTGTCCCGTTTTCTGTTTCGGGTCCTCCGGCTTAGGCTGTTAGGTTAGGAGGGGAAATTTTCAATTAACGTTTTTCATGACGTTTTGGAACCTTAGGAGAGCTTCCTGCCCTCCTAACCTACTAGAGGACCCTTAACTTGATGTTTTAGAAGAAAAAAATCCAAAATTAAATTGGAAAATAAATTTCCATTTTGAATTACGTCGACATTTGACCGTAGCGCATACGAGCGAAAACCGACGTAATATATACGAGAACGGGTCGAAGAGCCGCCCAAGGACAAGTGTTTGGGTGGCATTCATAAGTCTTTTAAATACAATTTACTAAAATGTTCGTTTGAACAAATGCCAGAGTGCCGAAGCACTCTTTGTATAGGTAAACCAGCCCGTGAATACTTACTCATGTTGAGAGATGAGAGAGAGATGAGTGCGTCCAGGAGCTCCGCCAGTTGCTGGGTTACTGTGGGCCAGCAGGCCGCCGTCACCCACAGCGCCGCCTCCGTCAGCTGGGTTACGCTTGCCCGGGCCAAGAGAGAACTCGAGAAAGTTGGATAATTATTCCAAACCTTCTTCCGTGGGGATGACGATGTTATATGGGTTTATGGATGAGAGGAGGAAGCATTAGCGTGTCGGGGAGAGAGTGTCAGGGTCTTCTACTCAACGTCTCCCCTTTTTTGGTAAGTGTGTGTGTGTATACTCACCTCTTTGTGCTTGCAGGATCGAGCATTGGCTCTTGGATCCCGCCTTTCCAGCCATCGGTTGTTTACAGCAATGACTCCTGTCCCATTTCCCTATCATAATTAATTTTAAAATTATGAATAGAGTTTGCTTCCACAACCTGTTCCTGAAGTGCATTCCATTTTTCCACTACTCTCACGATAAAAGAAAACTTCCTAACATCTCTGTGACTCACGTGTGTGTGAGTCACAGCGTGTGTGACTCACAGTGAGTCACAGTGTGTATGAGTCACACACACACACCGTGTGTGTGTGTGTGTGTGTGTGTGTGTGTGTGTGTGTGTGTGTGTGTGTGTGTGTGTGTGTGTGTGTGTGTGTGTGTGTGTGTGTGTGTGTGTGTGTGTGCGTGTGTGTGTGCAGAGAGAAATATATTGGTTAGAAAGGCGGGGTGCATGAAGTAATAGCTCGATCGATTCTGCAGGAACAAATAGTAAACACTCCACACTTTGGATGGTACTCTGGTCTTGATACATTTACATGTGTGTTACAGTAGTGTGTTTGTGGTGTGTGGTGTGTGTGTTGCCTGCACGTGTCTATGTTATCTTGAGGTTATCTTGAGATGATTTCGGGGCTTTTTTTCTAGTGTCCCCGCGGCCCGGTCCTCGACCAGGCCTCCACCCCCAGGAAGCAGCCCGTGACAGCTTACTTGAAGTCTTATGCTATGCAATAGTGGCTTTTGTTTTTTTCACTCAGATATCGTAGGGGTTGCTGACGGTCTCGCTTCGTGCAGGTCGGCGTTCAATCCCCGAGTGTCCAACTGGTTGGGCACCATTCCCTCTCCGCCTGACAAAGGCGGCGCCCGCCTTTAGGGATCCTGACAGCTGAGTGGACAGCGCTTCGTATTCGCAGTCCTGAGGTTCCGGATTCGATCCCCGTGTGGAGGCTGAGACAAATGGGCAAAAAGTTTCTTTCACCCTGATGGCCTGTTCACCTAGCAATAAATAGGTACCTGGGAGTTAGACAGCTGCTACGGGTTGCTTCCTGGGGGATGTATAACAAAAATGAGACCTGATCGAGGACCGGGCCACGGAGACAATAAGCCCAGAAATCATCTCAAGAAGATAAAAACCTCAAGATAACCCATCCCAAATCCCTTATCCTGACCCCCTTATCGGTGCTATATAGTCGTAATGGCTTGGCGCTTTCCCCCCTGACAATTTCCTCCCTTCCCTCACCTCATCTCTTCCTATTGGAGATAATGTCTGTCTGTTCACCGTGGGCGGCAAGGCGCCTTGGTTATCCTCGCCAAACTTTGCAGGGTAACTGGTCTGGGTTCCGAGCACAACATGTTCCCGCGGCGCCCCTTTTTACACGGAATGGAAAAATCCAAATCTCGCTAAATGAATACAAAAATACTGTTAATTACAAGTTGGAATGTCACTTCGGTTCACTGTGCGGGTACCCGTGTGCGGTGCGGGTACCCGTGTGCGGTGCGGGTACTGGAGATAGACATGGATGCGTAGCGAAATTATGAATGGAAAGAAGGAAGATATACGGAGAAAGGGAGGAGGAGGAGAGGAAGGTGTGGAGACGACAGGTGTCCAGGAAGATCATGTTCTTAAGATGTGGGAGGGGGTTATTGGGGAAGGAGTTGGGGGGGGGTGGGGGGGGGAGCTAATACGCCAGGAAGGAGCGAGGCCGCAGGTAAATGAGAGGGGGGTAGGGGTTGTTTGACAAGGGAGGGAGGGATGGGGTGGGAGGGAGGGGGTGTGGCGTGGGAGGGGGGGAGGGAGGGGGTGCGTGGGAGGGAGGGGGGGGGGGGGGGGTGGCGTGGGAGGGGGGTGCGTGGGAGGGAGGAGGGGGGTGCGTGGGAGGGAGGGGTAACCAAGCAGTGCACATCACATGACTGTGACTCATGCTCCAGACTCCCAGGGTAACCCTGGACTCTCTGCTCCATCCCCCCTTCCCACCCTTAAGCCATGCTCCCCCCCCCCCCCTCCCTCTCTTCCTCCCTCTCTCTCTCTCTCTCCTCCCTTCCCTCTCTCTCTCTCTCTCTCTCTCTCTCTCCCCTCTCCCTCTCCCTCTCTCTCTCTCTCTCTCCCTCTCTCTCTCTCTCTCTCTCTCTCTCTCTCTCTCTCTCTCTCTCTCTCTCTCTCTCTCTCTCTCTCCACTACCTATACATCAAGTCGTAAACATACAACCACTGAACATCAAACTACAACAGCAAATCACATTCGTGGGGAAAACGATTGAAATGTTTATTACAAGATCCATTACTAGAAAGATTACTTCAAGATCCGGTGGGGCCCAAGAGCTTGGATCTGTTCTGTGGAAATTCAAACATCCGCAGTTTCAAGATGATATATACACAGATCCCGCTCATCCTTAAGCAAGACATCAAAATGTACACACACACAGGCATTTGAGTGTGTATATGTGACTGCTACACAGTATTCATCTATGTAGACATGCGTGTATGTTGAAGGGCATGTGACGAACCTCACACCGGACCCAATCCCCTCTACTCTGGTGAACTTATCACCAAGTATCTTTCTCGTCTCCAACTTTGGACAGGCATTCTGTCTCTCGAAAGATATATATATATATATATATATATATATATATATATATATATATATATATATATATATATATATATATATATATATATAAAAAAGGGAAGGGAGTACCACCTCTGGCTGGAAGAAGGGGGACCCATAGCCTCGGAGGAAACCACACATAACGCATTAGAGGGAATGTTTAGGTCCCCTCCAATACAGATTCTGTGTGCTTTTCTCCTACCACCCCCTTCCTTTTGATTTTTTTTTTTTTTTATTATATATTTAAAGGTTACAAGATATACATTGGTTGATACAAAGAGTGCTTACAGGTTATGGATCTCTTGAAGCTCCTCCGCTTCAGGACAGGAACCGAGGATGCAGCAGGCGTTTCCCCTCTGGATCGCCACACTGAGGCGCTGAAACAAAAAACTGGCAGCTCTTGGGTCTCTGGTGACGTCAATGAGCTTGGAGCCCAATTCCTTGAGAAATCCCAAGGCATTCTTGCCCCAGGAGCCATGCGTCTCAGACGCTATGGGAACAAAGGTGTATCGACCTTTCAATCGCCTGTATATATGCATAATTATATATACATGTATGTATATAATTACAACAGAAAAGTTTTTTTATTTTATAGAGATCCGTAAATAGTAATGTATATTGCTAAATGAAAGTAATGTTCTCTGTTGAATTGTAGTGACCCTGACCAGCAAAGATCTCTACTTCCCCCCCCCCCCGAGGATCCCCCCCTACCCTGAGCCTCTCCCCCCCCCCCCCCCGTGTGAAGACATCACTACACGGCTAGCCAGGACCTGCAACTGCCCCCCCTTCCCCCCCCCCTTTGGGTTAAAGAAGGTGACCATGATCATTTTCTCCCGCCGGGGCAGCGGTAGGCACAGGCGACCTCCAGCAGGTAGGCCACCTGACCAAGACCACTCTCACTCTCACTCTCACACTCCCTCACACTCTCACACTCCTCTGGCTAAAATAGGATTTCTGGATTTTCCAATGTTATAGTTTCAGTTTTTTCCAACAGATAGCAAGTCAACTGTTATCTGATCTTACCGTCTACTCTCACACTCTCACTCTCCCCCACTCTCCCTCTCTCCCCCACTCTCCCTCACTCTCCCTCACTCTCTCCCACTCTCCCTCTCTCCCCCACTCTCCCCCACTCTCCCCCACTCTCCGTCACATAGAGAGAGATATAGGGGGGTATAAAGACGTAAGGCTCTCATCTTTTATGTTGTCCTGGTGCAAGGTGAAGTGTCTAAGGTCTTCCTGGTAGATGGAGGAGGTCTTAGAGACCTCTTAGAGGAGGTCTCCACTTCTCCCTCCTTCTCCTCTTCCTCCTCCTCTTCTTCCTCCTCCTCTTCCTCTTCCACCTCCATAAACAATGATTGTTTAAACAGAGCCCCAACATAGCTTTATAGAAAGGCGAAGCTTGCCTAGAGATGTGTGCCCTCCATGACCAGAGCATCACTCAGGGTAGAGAAGGACGGATCCACTGCATCTTCCTGGACTGCCATAAGGGATTCGACACTGCACTTCTAAAGGCTCCTATTTAAGGATAGTAACGGGAAGCGTGAGAGACTATTTCTTCAGTAATAGTAACCCGGAATGGTAGCAGAACTCATGCTCTTCATGGTAATAGTACCGGGAGTAGTAGTAGGAGTACTATTTCTGCGTACATGGGCGTTAATGTGTGTACAGGAGCATGGGGACAGCTTATAACAAATGTGTAAATAGATGTACGAAACCATTATGTACTAATGGCTTCGTACAAGACCCGAGATAACCTCGTCTAGGCTTAGTATAGTACATATATGTGGTAAATTAGGCATAGTACTGCTTATATTAGGCCTAGGAGGGCTTATATTAGGGCTAGCATGGCTTACGTTAGGCCTAGGATGGCTTACGTTAGGTCTAGGATGGTTTATATTAGGCCTAGGATGACTTACATTAGGCCTAGGATGGCTTACATTAGGCCTAGGATTGCTTATATTAGGCTTAGGATCACTTCTATACATTACAATTGGATGTGTTGGCGCTAGAAAAGATTGGGTTGTTGCTGAAGTGTTATACATAAATACTATGTTAATCCTTCATTGCAGCTTGCTTGTCAGTGGGGAGGAATGCAGTACTTAACACCTGTGGCCTTTTCTTCTTTATTATTATTAAATAAAGGCATAGATACATATGTACGGGGCCACGTACCAGCTGTCGTGAGTGTGTGTTTACAAGGTGCTGATCTGGACTTCGGCACTCCTCGGACGAGCATACAGAGTTCTGAAGACTGGCGACTCTACACAACATGGGCACACCAAGGCGTCCAACACCGCTCGGCACGCTACCATCGGCGTCCTCGACGATCTGCCCGATTGACTTCTTAGCTGTGTACCTAATTAGCATTCATCTACAGTGGCCTTAAACAAACTTCGTGACGGTCCAACAACTACCATGCCAATGGTATGTTGTTGTTGTTATAGATTCAGCTACTCGGAACAAGTTCCAAGTAGCATGAACTATGGGTGAGGGCATAGCTTACCTGGCACAGGAGCGTGGCAAGTAGCACGGGCTATGGTGAGCCCGTAGTGGACTTACCTGGCACAGGAGCGGGGCAAGTAGCACGGGCTATGGTGAGCCCGTAGTGGACTTACCTGGCACAGGAGCGGTGCTGTGTGTGACCAATGGTACAAAATATGGGCTTTTATGTATCCTGCGGTCAATGAAGGCTGTGGTTGTGGTGGTTACGGGGTGAGAGGGCATGAAAGGGCTTTTGACAACTAATAAGGTCTTATCTCAATTAGGATAGTTAGATAGCTTAGGGCAGATTAGAATAATTAAGTTAGGATACAGGTGGACGGGAGTAATTATGTGCCCTAATTGCTATGACATATTTAGTGCGTCACGTGAAGAGGCGTTTTGCGTCACGTGAAGAGGCGTTTTGCGTCACGTGAGGAGAAGCTTTGCGTCATGTGAGGAGAAGCTTTGCGTCACGTGAGGAGGAACTTTGCGTCACGTGAGGAGGAACTTTGCGTTATGTGAGGAGCAACTTTGCGTCACGTGAGGAGCAGCTTTGCGTCACGCGAGGAGGAACTTTGCGTCACGTGAAGAGGAACTTTGCGTCACGCGAGGAGGAACTTTGCGTCACGTGAGGAGGAACTTTGCGTCACGTGAGGAGCAGCTTTGCGTCACGCGAGGAGGAACTTTGCGTCAGGTGAGGAGCAGCTTTGCGTCACGTGAGGAGGAGGAACCCAGTGTGAGGACAAGAATATGTAGCGATGGTTATCAATTTACGGGGTCGCCATAGCCCGTGCTACATGGATATTTCGTTCTGAGTAGCTAAATTTAAAACAACAACAACAACGGTTATCAATAGTCCCCGGAAGTGAGGCGGGAAGACTGATAGTGTATCACCTGTCTTGTTGTTGTTGTATGTGTGGTTGTAGCTGTATAATCCCTGTTGTATGTGTTGTATTGCTTGTATGTATTGTATGGATACAATACATACAACCAATATGTATGGAGCGTCAGCGCCCCCTACTGTGGTGGAGGGTCAGCGCCCCCTACTGTGGTGGAGGGTCAGCGCCCCCTACTGTGGTGGAGGGTCAGCGCCCCCCTACGGTAGTGGAGGGTCAGCGCCCCCCTACTGTGGTGGAGGGTCAGCGCCCCCTACGGTAGTGGAGGGTCAGCGCCCCCCTACTGTGGGGAGGGTCAGCGCCCCCTACGGTAGTGGAGGGTCAGCGCCCCCTACTGTGGTGGAGGGTCAGCGCCCCCCTACGGTAGTGGAGGGTCAGCGCCCCCTACTGTGGTGGAGGGTCAGCGCCCCCTACTGTGGTGGAGGGTCAGCGCCCCCTACTGTGGTGGAGGGTCAGCGCCCCCTACTGTGGTGGAGGGTGCGCCCCCTACTGTGGTGGAGGGTCAGCGCTCCCCTACTGTGGTGGAGGGTCAGCGCCCCACTGTGGTGGAGGGTGCGCCCCCTACTGTGGTGGAGGGTCAGCGCCCCCCTACGGTAGTGGAGGGTCAGCGCCCCCTACTGTGGTGGAGGGTCAGCGCCCCCTACTGTGGCGGCAAAACGTTGACTGCGGCGTCTGGCCTCAAACCAGTTTAGGAACATCGATTAAACTTAATCGAAGTATTGACGCCTGGCGAGAGCCCCAGAGGTGTTGTGATCACGTGTTTGGTCGGACACTTGTCTTGTATATCTCTGGTTCCATGTGGGAGCTGCATGTTATAGGTCAGGTCTAATGTACGTTGGTTCCAAGCTGGAGCTGCGTGTTATAGGTCAGGTCTAATGTACGTTGGTTCCAAGCTGGAGCTGCGTGTTATAGGTCAGGTCTAATGTACGTTGGTTCCAAGCTGGAGCTGCGTGTTATAGGTCAGGTCTAATGTACGTTGCTTCCATGCTGGAGCTGCGTGTTAGTACTGCCTTTGAGTCATATCCATTCACAGCCAGCATGAAGGACTGTCAAAAGTGTTATATTTGCACTTATATATAAACTTGTGTAATAAGGTTAATATCAATAATTATACTAATAATAATTCAGGGGCCCTGACGACTGAGTGGACAGCGCTCGGGGTTCGTGGTCCTAAGGGTCCAGGTTTGTTCCCGGGAGTTAGACAGCTGCTACGGACTGCTTCTTGGGTGTGTGTGTGTGTGTGTGTGTGTGTGTGTGTGTGTGTGTGTGTGTGTGTGTGTGTGTGTGTGTGTGTGTGTGTGTGTGTGTGTGTGTGTGTGTGTGTGTGTGTGTGTGTGTGTGAAAATTAGGATTAAGGACTTGCCAGAAACGCTATGCGTGCAAGTGGCTGTTCAAGAATGTAAGAACTCATATATGTGTACATGTTTTTTTTATATACTGTATATTGACTCACTTGTGTGTTTGTATATACATATATATGTATTATATTGTATATACCACCGGCCTGTTTTGCCCACTAAATTTGCTTGGTTATGGATGGCCCAGCTGGACCATTGGTAAATAAATTTTAACAGTGTAACCCATTTGTATCATTCACTGGTTAAAGAAATGAGTGAGGGAGCGCTTTGCTAGGGCCACGATTACCTATAACAGGCAAAATATTAGAGTACGGTTTCAGGGACATCTTCCAAATAAAATACTAAATGGACCTTACTTCTTGGTTGGTCAGCGTTCGATCCCCAATGGTCCAAGTGGTTGAGGCGCGCGCTCAGAGGACGGGCGCGCGCTCACTCAGCTCAGACGCGCGCCTAGAGCACCGGCGCGCGCGTCCCGCCCCAGGGCTCTCAAATATACCCAAGAGCACTCACAACAATAATTTACCCATGATATATTAGGCGGAAACAAAGAATACACTACCGACCCGACGTCCCAAACAGTGAGACATGGAAAATCCAGGTTTTAAGGAGAATATATAATACATAGGCTTTTATAGACATGCATTGGGATTGGTTTATCCCAAACCAATTCATGGGCTTGTTTAGCAAGAGAAGGAGTGTATTTTGGGTGGTTAATGGGCCTAGCTGGGATAATACTGCGGTGAGAATTCAATTTCTTTCTTTATTATGCACCCCATACCCATCCCGTGGGCGGTGGTGTAAAGGATTACAGAGGCACATAATCGGTTCAGGAACTGAACCCTCTAGTTCGTTTAGCTAAGCAAATAACAATTTTTGACGCTAGTTACAAAATTATTAATGTTATATATACATGTATACACGCGGTGAGAGGCGGGACAGTAATCCCCGCTGGAGCGTATATCCTCCAACAAGTGTCAGTACGTATGACGTCATGTGGTCATATCGAATGCTGCCTCACCAGATTATATCTCCGTCTTCCCGCCCTCTCCACCAGTAAACCCAATTTCTTAGGTGTTCTTATTACTTTAGAGCCTTTTTGTGCCGGTAACTTAGCAACGGGGGGGAATTTGTTGTTGTTTTCATTGACAAAAACGCGTGAGGAGTATCACAGGGATGGAAATTATATATAGAAATATGGGTTCTAGAAAGTGGCAACGTAGAGACCACACCTCTAATACTTACCAGGTCTCGCAGTTTTTTTCAACGTTATGGCCCACTTTATTAAGTCAACGCTACTTAAATATGCCCTTTGGTCGGTATATATGTACGTGCGTTGATCTTACTAGTAACTGAAGAGGAAAGTTTGAAAGGTGGTTTATGGTTGCATGGTGCGATGAGCTGACTGTTCAAAGTTACGTGAGCTGAACGACCTTTTTCCACTTTTATCGCGCCAAATTTTGGACCAAAAGCGACACAGTGATGGTCCAAATTTATAGTTCTCTTTCATTATATTATTTTATGGCTAGAATATATATTTGTTCTGTGCGGAGACGTAATATAAAGCCAGACAGATGTGCTATACCTAAAATAACTTTAATTTAGAGAGTCGGCTCGAATGATGTCTTGTGACGTCATCGTACACTCATCCAATCATATGAAACTTCGACTTTATTCTATGTTTTTATTATGAAATTTTTCAGTAAGGAGTTTAATTTATAGAATTTACTCGATTTTTATGATACAATAATCTTTTAAAATATAAAAATAAACATATAAGCACATTAATATTTCTAAGAAAATGAAACGAGCCTAAATTATTGTAATTATTAAATATTATTAAATACATACTCTCAAGAATATTTCCGAAATAATATATTGCTTGGTCATATATCTAATAACATATATTATATTTGAACAAAATAACTGTTCAACTTATTGATGGAACGTGGCAAATGAATTGACAACACACACCCACATATATAAAATATTCGCATAAAAATATATATATACATCATCTGATATCCACTGACCCATGCTTAATAATATTTTCAACCCCATAAATATACATATCCGAATTTACAGAGCAATATAGATGACAGTAATACACAATACAGCTTACCAGAAACGATTGTTGTAAGACTATATATATATATTTAATGGCTAAATCAATTTTTTTTTAGCTCCCACCTATAGATAATTGTTGTTATTCAAATCCTCGGTAACATTTGTTTAATAAATGTAGTGTTATGAGTAGAGTAAGACAGAAGAGGGTGCGTGTGTGTGTGTTCTCCCGGAGACCGTCGGGGTGGGCGGCCAGGACACTGCTGGTCGGGGAGGCAAGTCGACGCTCTGTACATCCTAAAGTTTATTGTGAAAATGGCCAAGAAGACTTATGACTTGTTATTCAAGCTCCTCCTTATAGGCGACTCGGGCGTTGGAAAGACATGTATACTCTTCAGATTTTCAGATGACGCCTTCAATACCACGTTTATATCCACAATAGGTGAGTGGCGGAGGCCAAGGCTTGACACCCGTCGCCGCCGCCAGCCAGCCTGGCCAAATATCTTTTTTGGGTTGTATCTGCGTGTGGTTGAATATTTGGAGGTGGGTTGTGGGGCGGTATGTGACGGGTGGGAGCTCTCGACGGGCGTGGGATAACCAGGAGAGCTTTGGTTAGGCCGCGGTGGGGGAAGGGGGGGTGGAGGTGGAGGTTGGGTTCCTGGGAGCCCATTTGGGTTGAGGTTGGGTGGTGGGGGTCGGCCTGGGGGGGGGGGGGGGTGAGGTTGTGCAGGAAATATGTTCTACACAAAACTGTACCTCTGGTGGATTTTATAATCATCCCAACCTCCTAATAATATAACCTAACCCAAGGATATATAGTTTTTTTTTTTTTTTGGTTAAACTGGAAAGCAAGTATTCTCGAAGCGCAACAATAATTTGACTATGCTCCGTTTAGGAGGATAAGGGGGGGCTCTCGTGCCGGTATATTTTTAGTTTTGTGTTGTAATTCTTGATTGAGTATTGTGGTCTTTTTTGTTGCATAATTGACGAGTTTAAAACGCATTATGCAAGACACAAGGCCGAGTTCCCTTGTGCTGCTATCAAGTTATGTCGAGGGAAGTTGCTTTCAATATTTATTATGGGACATTATATGCTAAATGGTAATTGAGGTTAAAATAAGCCGAGGGAACCCTAATTTGTTCGTCATATACTGCTAATGCCGTCATGCGTGTTATTTCTCTAGGAAATTAACTTGCTGTTGAATAGGTAGAGTAGATAGTGGCTTTAAACATTGCTAATTTAACCTGTTTATCTACATGAATAGACCAATTCTTGCATGGTCATTGTATGATCTCCGAATTGTCCCCGTAATCCTTCCAGGTTCTGTATTTGCTTAGAGCTTTCTCGTAAGTACCTTACCAAATTATCTTGCTAACCAAGTTTGTGAATTGTGTACATTGTACAGGCTCGTGTGCTATTTGGATAGAGGGCCCCACAGGGTGCTGTGCTACTTGGTTAGGGGCCCACAGGGTGCTGTGCTATTTGGATAGAGGGCCCCACAGGGTGCTGTGCTACTTGGTTAGGGGCCTACAGAGTGCTGTGCTACTTGGTTAGGGGCCTACAGAGTGCTGTGCTACTTGGGGCTTTGAGGATATTGTCCCTACAGCTGCTCCCCCACTCGGAGCCCCTCTCATATGGAGAACATCTTTCAAACCCAAGTGTTGGATAAGGACTACAGCTCTACCCAGGAGCATTTGTGACAGACTTTTGGGTTTGAGAGGTGCACAAGGTGTCTGTGGGTGCCTTTCAGACCTTCTTGGGCCTTGTTCTCTCTCTGGAGGGTCTTTTTGTTTCTAGGGATAATTTTTCATATATGTATCAGTACGATTGTTCTGCTTTTCCTGGAGATCATTGCCGGTTAGGTTCCATTTGGTGCCTCAAAATTGGTTTATTACTGTAGGTTTCAGTCTCCCCATGTTTCATCTTCAGTGGCCCGCACAGTTAGATTTTGGTACTTCTACAAAATTCAGACCGTTTTTCATTGATAGATCCGACTATTTTTCTAGTACCGGGCCATCTCGGCTTATTGGCTGTGATGTGAGGCTCCGGATTCATCATGGCTGGCTGACGTACCATCTGTTTCACCACTCCTGGGACTAGCATGTTTGGACCCCACCTGCTGCTTATTGTCTCCACTCTGGTTTCCTCTTCCATTTTTATGGGGTTTCTATGGTGCCATCCTCTCCCATTATTTGGATGTGTTCATAGATACTTTGACACTGGGCTGGGGGCTTTGTTACCAGCACTCACCAGGCCACCCATCATCAGTGGTCGGGCCCATGCCTTTGGGTGCACAATACAGTGCACGAGTTTGTGGCTATCATGCTCTAAGGAGGATTTGGCACCCTCCAGGCTCTGCTCTGGCTCCACTATGACTGCTTCCCAGTGGTTCATAGCCTGAACTGAGGGGATGGGGGTGTTGCTTCAATCCTTAACTTTATGGAACTGAAAGCTTCGAGTATTTTGGCTTATAGTTGCTTGGGGTTTGATCCTCTGTGCAGCTCATGTGCAGGGTGTTTCCAGTGTTCTTGCAGACAGGTTATCTTGATTCCCTCCAATTTCTATGGGGTGGACCATCGATGAGGAATCCTTCCATTTGATCTGAGAGAAGTTCAGTCTCCCCAAGTTGGACCACTTCATATCAGTGTGGAACTGGTGCCTTCCATCCTGATTACGAGGCTCTTGCAGTGGATGCCCTCTGACTGGACCGGTAGAGGTGCCCTTACTTTTTTCCCCAACTCGGTTATTTCTCGGTTCTGTCCATTCTGGAGTTGTATTCGAGGAGGGTGATACTTCTGGCTCCTTGGTTTCCGGTGTATCTAGCCCAGCGTCCAAACCCGGGCATTTTTCCGCAGCTTTGCCTCTCGGCAGGTTGGTCGACAGTGTACTTTGGTGGTTCGAGGTTCCCTTCTGCTCTACATGTCTGAAGTTTTTGGCAAGTGTTTACTGCCATTTGTGTGGTGAGCAGGTGGTTAGTTTCTTGGTGCATTTTTCCCTGCAGCAGTAGTATACAGTATATATACAGTATATATATATGAGACTACCTGGAGCTCATTTCACCAATCTCTCTCATCATCTTTCTTCAGTTTGTCAAGAATGCCCTGTCCATTTTGTCCTGTGTTTCTAGATCAGCATCTTGTGCCTAGTACTGTTACCTCTTATTACTCAGCATTAGTTGAGCCACTGTTACTGGCATTCATCATTGACTCCTCTTCTGCAAATTGTCTTGTGGGGTTTTCACCAGCCAACTTATGCTCCTCCTGAGCCGTCCTGGTTTCTTGATTGGGTGTTGGCCTTACTTCCCTCGCCGCATTTTACGTTTCACCTTCAGCTCGTAATATTTCTCAAAATTGCATTTTTGTTTGCTCGAAAACACTTAGAGGCTGGCCCCAGGCCGGGGTCGGGGAGTAGAACTCCTGAAACCCTCTCCAGGCATGGTAGAATAACAACTGATTCCAGCACCTAGCTGAAACCTTTTTGTATACGTAAAGTGCACTTTTAATCACATATATAATCAAATTTTGGGAAAGTGTTAAATTAATAGATTCCCAAGTGCTATTACAGTTGGCAGCATGATACTATTATTGTGTATAGTGTAGTGTGCTGGCTAAACACTAATTTGGGGAGTTAGATAGTAGTACTGTATTTTGCTTTACTGTTGTGTTGGTGGTTTATATTTTATTAACTTTAGACCTACCTAACCTTGATATATTTGTTTAAGGTTAGAGTTTACTTGTTGATTAGTGCCAAACATTGACAACGCTCTTATTTAATTCCTCCCCACAAATTATCAGTCTCGTGTAAATGTAAGATATTTCCAAACTTGAATTTTACTGTATTTATTGAACAGGTTAGTTTTAAGGGCTGTCATTTGCATTGTAAATGTAAATTTGGTAGGTTGGATTAGGATTGTGCACAGATTGAGATATCATTTTATATACTGTACTGCATATAACATTTTAATAGTGACACTTCATGCAAACAAAATGTATTGACTACTTTATTCTTATAGAGTATTTTATTGGGAACATAAAGCCTGTTCGTCTAATCGAGGTACTGCTAGGCAGTATACAACTTACAACAGTCGACTAACTCTGATACCTATGTAATGGTAGATGAAGAGACATCAGGTGTGAGGAAACCTGCCCAAACAACTTGCCCTGCCTGAGAATTTAATGCTGGTCCAGTTGGTTGATACAACAGAGCTATGTCACCTCTTGGTTTGAATAGGAAGAATCTGAAAATGAATTGATAAGAGAATTTAATAAGTAATTAGAAATTTTTATAAATAACAGAATATTCTATGCTAGTAGCTCCACTTGTAGAAAATAATTTTATAATACAGTTAATGTAGGTACTGAGTTGACTGTTGATAGCCAAATAATTACATAGTTATTATGAATCTAATTTTTTGAATGTTATATGTAGGCATACTTCTGTAACAAACTCTGAATTAAGTGCCTGATGCATGTACTGTACAGTGCAAACTTTTTAATTTGTTTCATAAATATTTGAGTTACGAGTTGGACTGTATCTAATTTGTTAATCAGTTTTTAGTATATAATTCTTGTTTTATTAATCTATGCTGTTACATGTGGATATTCAATATTACGGTTTCTCACATTTCAGGTATTGACTTCAAAATCAAAACCATTGAGTTGAGAGGAAAGAAGATAAAGTTGCAGATATGGTAAGTCTAAGCCTAATACTACACAAGTTTTTGCATATACATTTGAGTATTCAGTCATTATGAGCAGTCTCATAATGTATTGAAGTGTGAAATATATATTGGCTGACATAGTTTTGTAAATCTGGGTCTGATCTTCAGTACTGCCAAAACAATGGAAATTTTTTGACTGTTGGTATGGTCAGCTATGAAAGACTTATACCAAATCTTGTTGCACGTTGAAAAAGATGACTACCACCAGACATGGTCAGGTAAAACCAAGAAGGGAAAAAGAAGCTATCTGAACATAGGGAGGAAGACGAGGCTCAATAGATTGAGAAAAGCTAATAAATCTGGGAAGGGGCAAGTAAGAGGGAACTGGTGGCAGAGCGTAAGGAGTTAGACGAGAGACTGCTTCTAGATGGTTTATCCAGCAGCAGATTGTGACAACTTTGTACTATATACAGTACTATTTTACTACAATGTAAAGCTACATTCCTGCTACAGATTTTAACGAGGATTACCAAGATGAAGTAACTCACCAAAGTTATTTTTTTAATTCAAAATTTTAGCCTTTATTTTACCTTGCACAGTACTGTATATCCAAAAATAATTGTTTATCATTCTATTGTAGAGTATATTTATATACAAAGGTGTGTTCTATCATTCTGGATAAAAGAATGAAATAAATACAGTATTGAAAAACTAAAAACTCGTGGGACCCAAATCATTAATAAACCACAACAGATCCAGTCCTAGTTAATCCATTCAAGAAAGTTGACACTATAATGAAGTCAATATTATGTTTAATTAAAAGAAAGGTTAAGTTGTTTGCTGGACTTCACATCAGTTTAAAAATCTTGTGTAATGTACTCGGCAATAAATATTTTTAGTCTAGGCCAACCATCTTGAGGTTATCTTGATGATTTCGGGGCTTTAGTGTCCCCGCGGCCCGGTCCTCGACCAGGCCTCCACCCCCAGGAAGCAGCCCGTGACAGCTGACTAACACCCAGGTATCTATTTTACTGCTAGGTAACAGGGGCTTAGGGTGAAAGAAACTCTGCCCATTGTTTCTTGCCGGCACCCGGGATCGAACCCGGGACCACAGGATCACAAGTCCAGCGTGCTGTCCGTTCGGTCGACCGGCTCTTACCATTGTATATCATGTTTTTTATTTGCAAGTATTATTTAAGGAAATGTATTACCATCTTGTTTACTTTTCCAGGGACACTGCAGGCCAAGAGAGGTTCCACACAATTACCACTTCATACTACAGAGGGGCCATGGGTATAATGTTGGTTTACGACATTACAAATGCAAAGTCATTTGATAATATTGCAAAATGGTTAAGAAATATAGATGAGGTAAGTGTATCCATTTTAGCATTACTGATTTGTTTGAATCATTGATATCCTGTTAACTTTTCATCATAAACAGGTGTGCTCTTGTAGAATCTCTGAAAAATGTATGAACCAAGTGCTTGAAAATATCAAGAAAAGCAATATTCTTCTGCACCTTTTTTTAATATAATACGATGAGTATTTATATCATATCCGAACCTAGAAACAGAAGTGAAGGATAGGAACTGCCTCGCTGTTTTCACCCATTAATAAAGTAAAATGAAAGATTTAAAGACACTAAAAGGGAAGTAAGAAAAAAAAATACGCAGACGATAAGTCACAATAGCGTGGCTGAAGATATGACGACCGAACCACACATCAGAAGATGGAAAAAACGAGGACGTTTCAGGCTGTCCCGGTAAGTCTGTCATTTAGTGTACGTCCAGAAACTGGCCATATACTAAATGACAGATTTAAGGAACACAAAAGTAGTGCTAAGTGTCTTCTAGAAATACTCTTTCCTGCCTTTAATCTTTACAGATGCCGTCTTGTCAAATCTGCTCTGATGCACAACATACTCAACATGAACCTAGGTCCTGGCTTTGTTGTAGTTGTCTTCCCATTTACAGTACATACTCAAATGGTCCAAGCTTCTTAATAAATGTGACCTAACTTGAGTCTAACCCCTTCTTACCTTCCTCTTATTCCCATTCTTCATTGATCCCATTATTACTCATTCCATTTGTACCCTTTCATCCTATTATTACTTTTCACCTTATTCTTACCTTCTTCTCTAACCTGTTCCTCACCTTATGCCTTGCCTCCTAGAAATTACCTTCTTCATTTACCTGCTGCTCACCTCACTCTTTCCCTATTTATTGGCCCATGCATTCCCCCCCCCCCTCTCAACATTACAGCCCCGCTCCTGTGCCAGGTAAGTCCCACTACAGGCTCACCATAGCCCATGCTACTTGGAATTTTTTGTTCCCAGTAACTGAATCTAGAACTACTACTACTTTCCCTCTCCCATGATGGGCTGTTCATGCCCGTGCCACCTCTTGGGTGGCTTAATCTTCATCAATCGCCCCTCTTCCTTACTCCCGACTTGATAATGGTTGAAGACAGACCTAAACGTCGTCAATTCTTTGTCTTCTGATGTGTGGTTTGTATGATTATGGTTAAGAAAATGTAAGAAAACTTGTTGCAACAATGAGACCCCCCTCTTAACTGTTTACGTGATTTTGATCCAATGAGTGAAGAGGAATGGCCACAACAGAGCATTTATATCCATATTTTGATGTTAAACTGGGATGAATAAGTACTGGGAAAATGTATGGAAGGTGTGGGATGACAGAGAAAGCTGAATATTTGCACCAAGTTCTTTTATTTAAATTCTGTATTTATTTTGTAAAATGTAAATATTCATTCAAAAGTATTGAGAATTTAATTTATTATTATTGAATTGCAACAGAAATGTTTTGTAAATTTTACTACTGCAGTGTAAACATTTGAGTTAACCTACATTAAAAAGGCATTTTTTATCAACCTCTATAATGGAGAGGATACCAAGTTGTTTGCTCGACGTAGAGGTGGGCGGTTGTTGCGCCGTGTGCTAAAATATTTACGTACAGTGCTCGTTAATACAAAAATCAGTCCCAAGATGTTGACACTTTCAGAAATTACTTGGCTTAAAGGGTTACTGGCTGCGCTGTGTTGTTACAGCGGCCCAAAGTGCAGACTACCATCCAGAGTGCATTTTTGACCAGGTTACAAGCAATTTTAGGGTGATCTTATGTTAATTTTTTTAAACAGTTTGTATTGCATGTACAGTATTTAACTTTTTACTTGTTCGATTGCAGTTTTGGATTAGATGGAAACTTGACCAAGCTGAATGCCTCGGCATTCTATTACTCGATATTTTTATTCGGCCACATACTCAGTTTAATGGTGATAAAAATGCCAAGAATATGTATGAGAATAAAGAAAATGGCATGTCTTTTAGTGCAAGTGTGATAACTCCCATTTATTCCCTATCATATGCATCTATAGATATGTCTTATCTGAGCTAAAAATCCAGTAATCAGTGACCTTACTGAATTATTGATTACCCAGCAATCTTTTCTACCTCTATACTACTTTAAGATATTAAACCTGTACTCTTTAGCTTAAACTTAATTTGAACCCATTGTTGTGTGTCCTTTTGTGCTGATTTATTTAGAACTCTATTAACACTTTCGCTCACCCCGCGCGCCACCCCTCGACAGGGCGATATGGGCCCCAGCGTGTCACGGAAGCGCGCGTTAATTCCGAAAAGTGTATACTCTCTTCAACTTTGTCACCTCAATTCTCCTTCTACGAGAATAAATTTGGTATCATTGTGTTCGCAATAAAATTCTCTACAGCACTAAATGCATATAAACTCCAAAAGCCCGGCTAATTACCCGCAGCAAACAGAGAAAGTGCGAACGAGTTACCCGGGAGCGCGCAAACGGGATAAAATGTTTTCACTATTTTCACTCTGGTCACCTCAATTTTTGTCCTAGGTCTTTCATTTTGGTCTCAATGGGTTCGTAATAAAATTCTCTAGAGGAACATTAGCATATAAAAAAAAACACCTGGTCACGCTCCAACCGCCGACGAGTTGAAGACGGGCCACGCGTTAGCCGTGAGTGAGCGCTCAGAGGCCTTCCTACTACACTCCCAATTCCCACCCTTTTCAAGCCTTTCTTTCGCAATTTTCTTCCTGGAAGGGCCTTGTTCATGATTACTATCCATCGTGGAGTAAGCGTAGATAGTTTCTAAAGCCGCAGTAAGAAATATAGCCACGGAAAATAGCCGAAATGTTCACACGTTTGAGATGCGAGGGGAGACGACATTGGTCACAACAGTGGAGCAAAGACAATGGGCCCACGGCGTGTGCCAAGCCGCCTGAGGGCCACGAGGCTCAACAAAGGAAATGGGAAGACATCGGCGCACATTTTAAAACCAGTCCCCAAAAAATCGGATACAAACCTGATTTTTGGCGAATTTTTAAAGTGGATGACGCAATGCTGCGTCATCCCCGGCATTACCGCCAGTAAACGGATGACGCAATGCTGCGTCATCCCCGAGCGAAAGTGTTAATATTCCCCTTGTCATGCCCTTTCATCCATTTGTGTACTTCAGTCTTGTCTTCCCTTACTCTGCCATTCTAGAAAATGCAAACTGTACTTTCTTACGCTGTCCCCATAAGGAAGGTTCCTAGTGCTTGGGATGACCTGTCATCATTCTCTGCAAACATTTAAGAACATTTTTTTAATCATTTAATGTAGGGCCTAAAATTGAGCTGCATGATTTAAAGTTGGCTTAAGAAGTGCAAGATTAGAGCCGAGGTATAACATAAGTGGTCTTATTACTAACACTTCTAGAAATGAATCGTGGTATCATATTTATTTCACTTTGAGTGTCATTGGCAAATTTTTATTAAGTCCTGCCTATTTCCCTACTAATTTTCCTGTGTGCCCTTTACATGGTGATCAACCTTGATCACGACCGGGGAAGCCGGTCGGCCGAGCGGACAGCACGCTGGACTTGTGATCCTGTGTTCCCGGGTTCGATCCTGGGTGCCGGCAAGAAACAATGGGCAGAGTTTCTTTCACCCTATGCCCCTGTTACCTATCAGTAAAATAGGTACCTGGGTGTTAGTCAGCTGTCACGGGCTGCTTCCTAGGGGTGGAGGCCTGGTCGAGAACCGGGCCGCGGGGACACTAAAAAGCCCGAAATCATCTCGAGATAACCTCAAGAATTTCAACATAACCATTTCTTATGAAATAACCATGCTCCTTTACCTTTCTAATTCATCCGTTTAGGTATTAAAAGCTTCGCTAAAGTAGAGATAAATAGCCATAATTTATTTTCACTGTTTACTTATTTATATAATCTCAAAAAGTAAATTTGTAAAATATGAATGGCCTTGTAAAGGTGTACTATGTAGCAAGCATCATATAGTTAGATGAATATAGTTTTTTTTTGCTTACCATAACACATGTACATAATTGTCCTTGCTTTAATACATACATAGTTGTTCCCTGTTTACCTCAACACTAGCACATAGTTGGCCCCTGCCACCTTAACATATGCACATGGTTCTATCCAATGTTTACCCTAACGTAAGCACATAGTTGTATCCGATGCTTACCCTAACATAAGCACATAGTTGTATCTGATGCTTACCCTAATGCAAGCACATAATTTGTACTGCATTGAATTTATTTTCACTGTTTACTTATTTACCCTAACATGCCATTTTCTGTGTTTTATACACATTTCATATCGAATATAATACTTGCCTTTTAAGCTTATTTTACAGTTTAAAAAATAAAAAAATGTAAGATTTATTTTTATTAATTTTTTAACTAAAAATGAATGTAGTGTAACTTGATTTTGCCTAATGTGATATGACATACAAAAGAATTTTTATTAAATGATCATTTCCATATAACAGAAAGGCTTCAAGTACAAAAGCCTGTAAATCAGAAGATTAATGAATGTGTACAGAGAAAGCTTGGTTGTTGGAATGAATGAGGATAGACTGCTGACTTGGGTTTTTGAGGGAATTTTAGAATAGGAGAGGAAGGTCAAGAAGATGGACTAGACATTGTGAATGTCTGGAAGAAATTGGGATTGAGTGTGACCAGTGCACATAATGAATTATAGTACGGTATAAGGCTTGGTAAAAGCAATTTGTAATGTTTTGTTTGCACCTGTATATAACAGTTTGCAAGAAACAGTGTACTTAGTCGTGTGAAGCAGTGTGGTCTTGTGGATGATCTGCTGGACTGTCAAACGTAACATGATGGTGAATGGAAGGTGTGGTTACTGGTATCATTAGCCTTTTCTGCTTTGTTCTCCATATTTCTAAGCTGATGCCTCCTTGCCCCTTAAGTGATAAACAAGGTGGTGATAATGTCAACAGAAAGCAATGTTTTTATTTTGAAAAAAAAGAAAAAAGTAATTTTTATGTTGTGGTTCTAACCCAGCACAAGGTTCTAACTCTTGGGTTATAATGTAACCCCAAGTAATAATATAAATTCCACATTTTCATTATTATCTCTTCTGTTCATAAATATATATTGTAATTAACCTCATTCATCCTTGAATAAATCCGGTAGCAATTCATTACAAGTACTGCATGTTCGTTAATGTGAATGTTTTCGAAGAAAGTGATAAAACTACATTAGTAAATCTTATGTTAAAGATCAACCATGGCTTATAAAGTTGTGGTAAGCTTTGGTTGACTTGATCACCAGGCCTGGATGTAAATGAATCTGGTAGACTTTGGATATCATTAGTGTCGCACACTGTCAACTTACAGATTTAAGGTCACTAGTAAACCATCACCATGCAGAATTGTTCTGCAAATATTTTTTTGTCATAATACTGTACTGTATAATTATCTTCAATTGGATTGTTAAATCTCCCCTCTATGATCTATGCATTTAATTTCAGTAATCTTAATGTTTTGGAGGCAGGCAGTGATAGTGTTAGCTTGCATAATCTTAAAATTCTCTTTTTCCAGCATGCAAATGAAGATGTAGAAAAGATGATTCTGGGAAACAAGTGTGACATGGAGGACAAGCGTGTTATCCCTAAAGAAAAAGGAGAAGCGGTTAGTATTCCACCAACTTGTTAAATACCAGCATTTAATAACAGCTATGATTGTTACTTGTTTGAAGTGATGTAACGGTTAGCTCAAACATGTCTAAATGTGTTTAATTGACAGTCCTTGCTTTTACCATCTTGCATGTTTATACAGCATTAATTATAATGGCTGTATCTTTTCCTGTCGAGCCATGGTATTCGTCATTACTTTGTGCAAAAAAGAAAAACAAAATGTTTAGTGGGGCTCAGCCCCATAGAATGAAAAATGCAAATTCCAAATACTGTACCATTCTTATGGTGGTCTGTGGGACAAACTAAAACTACTTAGGATAAAAACCCACACTTATGTATTTGAGAGATTTATGTAAAGATTTACACCAAGTTTTTCACACTCCTGAGTGCTTTGTCACGATCTGAGCATGTGGTTAGTACGAGACTTCCATCTCAACGGCTAATGCAGCTGCTAACCAGGATCCAATCATCTTATTCTTCTTGACCATGTCACCTTTATTCCCTGATGAACCCGGGGTGATGTTATCCATGGAATTATGATCAGGTGTCCTTTCTGTAATCCTGATATTCTGAGAACTGTTGATATTAGTAGGTGTTCATCTGGATGCTGTCCCTCATAACCCTCCATACCCAAAGAAAAGTGGCTAATGGGACCACAGGGAGTTCCCGCTTTACGAACATTCATACATGCAAAAATTCATCTATATGAACGAACAGTCTCCCATGTTCCCATGTACCCTCTTCATACATAAAATCATTGTACTGTACTAACTCGCTGCAGCCTCCCTTTGAATTTCGTGACCGCATAGTGGAGTGCAGTATTGTACAAAATTGTCTGCATGGCCCATTGGGAGGCAGGACACATGAGTGTATTTACTCTTTTTGCCTGTAGGTGGGTGGGTGTGGGTGTGTACTCGCCTAGTTGTGCTTGTGGGGGGGGTTGAGCTCTGGCTCTTTGGTCCTGCTCAATTGTCAAACAACTGGTGTACAGATTCCTGAGCTGTATGGGTGTGTGTGAGGGGGGGGGGTGAGGGGGATGGTGCATGGGGGAGTAGGTTTGTGGGAGAGAGAGGGTGGCTGGGTGTGCAAGATATACTTCCGATACACTGGGTATCAGGAGTGTATATAGAAGGGATGTTCGGGGAAGATGAGAGTTGTTGAGAGTGGTGGCCTCACAAGTCCTCAATTGACCCCCCCCCCCCCCATGCGTATGATTTGTATATTCCAGATTGTGTTTACTCTTGGGGGGGGGGGGGCGGGTAGGGCTCTGGGCTGCTGATAGAAAGGTGGGTGGGGAGGTGTTTACTTGTGAGGCCAATTACTAAATGGTGGACCACCAATACAGTGCACATGTATTTTCACTTATTTATTCATGTAATTATACCACTTCACTCTTTAAAAACAGTTAACTTTGACAAGCAGGATAACTCCATAATTCAAGGTAAATAATGTTGTGTTTTTTTATATTATGTCCCAAAAATGTTTGTTTTGCGAGGTGTTCTCGGTCCACCAAAAATCATCTCCCATTTATAGCGTTGCAATTATGGAAAATCTTGACCAGCATTCCGAACAACTGCTTTACAAAACAGTCTCGGAACATAATTCATTCGTAATTGGGGAACTGCCTGTACTTACATTCATGAATGTATGTAATGAATATCTGACTACTTACATTTTATGAATGTAAGTAGTCCCATTAGCCACTTTACTTTGGGTATGGAGTGAGTTACGAGGGATAGCATCCATCCAGATGAACACCTCTATTAATACCATCTACAGTTCTGAGAATATAAGGATTACAGAAAGGACTCCCAATCATAATTCCATAGATGAGATTATTGCAGGTGCATTTGCAGTTGAGAATACGTAACATAGGAAGTTAAGAAGCATAAGAGGACTGGATCCAGGGTAGCAGCTGCATTAGTTATTTAGATGCAAGTTTCATCTTGACCAAATATTCTGACCTTGACAAAACACTCGGGAGAGTGTGAAAGTCTTGGTGTAAATCATTACACAGATTTCACAAATACATAAGTAAATTTCAACCCCAAGACTGACCCTCCCGATTCTCCTCTCCCCCCCCCGACACCCTCTACCCCAAAACCACCCACCCCAACACCACCCACCCCAACACCTCCCATACCTTGTGCCCCGAGTCACTGCTGTACAGGATTAATAGTGTGGTCCAATGCCTGTCTGCGGTATCTGGCAAAATCTCAGGTTATCCAAATTGCTATTTGGATATGGTGAAGTTTTGCCAGAAAAATATCTGGCCTTGATTTTCTCCAGATAACCCAAATGTTCGGATCAGCTGGGTTCGGGAAAGTGAGCTTATACAGTATTTTCATTATTATGATGGATAACGTGTGTATTCGGTGTCCAAATTCTTCTTTGCTTCAGATATGGTACACAAATATTTTGCAGTCGTGCATTGTTGCATTGGTTGATATACAGTCTTCAGTTTCATTATTTGTTTTACAGATAAGGGTGTTGGGGTAACCAGTACCTAAACTTTGTTGAAGATTTTGTATAACTTACGTTTACAATATGGCTTTCCAATGTTTACAGTGTGGCTTTGCATCCCATTGATGACGAAGTTTTAGAAAAAAAAAATTTAATAGGGAATTATTTTTCAGGTCATTACCTTTCTGATGAGTTTACATTTTCATCCATCATGTTGCAATTAGTGATTATTGTTATTGTGCTGTTTTCTATGCATGCTTTTTTTCCAAAAAAGTATATCAGATACTTTAAAACTATTTTCTCAAAATTTGATGCATTTTTTTTTAATGTAAATAACTGTTCCAGATTGCACGAGAACATGGTATTCGATTCCTTGAAACGTCAGCAAAAGCAAACATCAACATTGAACAGGCCTTTTTGGAACTAGCTGAAGCCATCCTCAACAAGACACCAGGACGGGACCCACAGGTAATGTTTTGTACACTGTACATTTGTAGGCTTGGAGAAATCTATAAATGCAAAAGGTCTTAAAATCAGACCAGGCCAAATTGTTCCTTGTTTCTCTGGTACAGTATTTATAGTTTTGCGTACTGTAAGAAACCTTTAGTGATAATGCTAATTCAATTCTGTACATGGACTACTACTAGCAGAAACGGGTCTGTTAAGCTTATCAAGATTTCTAACCTAACACGAGGTTGTCTGGGGGAAGGCATGTTGCCCACCCAGTTACTGGCTAGAGACTGATGCTTAACTTGACCAGTACAGTATGTACATCATCCACTAGTCGAGATAATTTTGGCCTTGTGATTCAGTTAGTAGTGCGAGTGCCCGGGAAGTTCAGGGGTGCTGGTTTGATCCAATTGCACACGGCCTCGATATATTCTGATAGATATCTCGTGTTCTTGGGATTTCACCATGCAGCCTAACAACATGGATTTGTGCTGTGATGTACAGAAGATGGTAGGGGTAATTGTGGAGAATAGTGGGGAATAATTTATTGGGTGTTGACAAGTAATTGTTCCAATCTGCTTTAGTTTGCCCATGAAAATTACCTTAGGACAAGTGTATTGGCATGCTGTTTCTTGCATTACTTGATTGAATTAGATTTTTTTTTAAATACAGTGTATGTTCGTAAAATCTGGATTATATCATTCCAGCACTAGTTTTTTTAACTTTTTAACCAGTCAATTGGATGTCACATCCAGGGATGTATATTAAAGTACTGCATAAGATGTAAAGCTCCCATGGGTACACAGCTCGCATCCACTTCTTCAGGCCTTGATTAAATCAATACCATCTTGGAAAAAATGGTGGCACCCTTCATGGGAGCCACCTCAGTTCTATGAGAGCAATAGTGCATGCAGCGCCAGCACAAAGCACTGCCATGCAGCTCATGCCCACAGCATCGCTTGATGATATAAATAGGTAACTGCTATTATTTTTGATAGTGCAGTAACATAGAATCCATGCAATGTCTGTTTTTGTACACTACTTTTCTAGTGGCTTATTTCTCTTGGTTACTGTAGTGATCCTAGATCTACAGACTTCTTTCCGTCTACTGAGAGGATCAGATTCTGTTACTGGTAGAGCCTGGTGTGTACTGAAGGTTTGACAGTACCTTCAGTACGGCATTCAGTATAGCAAGACAGCATTCTTCTCTAAATATTAATGTATTCCTGCTTGAGCATTATTATTAAATATATCTGCAGTTTTACAGCCACAAATACGTAGCTTCATAATGAAGTGCATAATTCTTGGAAGGTAGTATGATGCAGGGATGGAGTGCATGAAATGCTCTACATTGTATGTAGACATTACAAAATTACATTACATTACAAAAATTAAAGCATTTAATCATAATAGTGGTAATAATAATAATAATTACTAATAATATTACAGGAAAATCCAGACAGTGTTGTTCGCCCTGAGAGGAGGAATGATCGAGGTGCAGCTCGACAGTGCTGTGCGTAGGCTACTAGTGTTTCAAGCGGCAGTGACGGGGTCAAATACACCCAACGGGACACCTCCACAGGACTCAAGATAAGGCTCCTCTGTAGGTTTCCTCCTCTTCGGGTATTTCTGAGACTCCTCTGGACTGGGCATTGTTAGGCCCCACAGGAACTAACATCATTACATATACACCTACTGTGGACTCTGCTCTCAGGGGAGGTCAAGAAATTGAAGCACAGACTTTTATGCTTAATCTGTACCATCTTTTTACACTGCACTCAGGGGATGGATTCAAAAGATAAGTTAGGAACTAATAGTTGCAGGTTGTTGCTCATATTGCAGTCTGAGTGTTGTAGTCGGATGTTGTTTTTGTCCTGGGATGTGAATGGTGTTATGAGAATTGAGTAATGATTTTTGAGCCTTGGACACGATCTTAATTTGGTTGCCTTTTTAGAGTCTAGAAATGGCACTACATTGAGAAGTGGTCGAAGGTTATTAGTGCTTGTGTAATTTGAGAGGTGGCACTTGCAATGAGTGGCCTCTCCCTGGTAACTATCATGACTCTTGGTGCAATGGAATTTACTTCAGAACTATTTTTGTGCACTCTGCCTTATAATTTTTAATGTAAGGCTTAACGTATATTAAGTGAAAGAAAGCCTTTCGTTAGTGTTCATCACGAATGCAAGAGAAGGTGGCTTGGAAATGAAATATTTATATGTAGAAGCATAATTTGAATACTAGTGGTTTTGCTATGAACTGTTCTAATCATATACTGTAACTTGCCATGTGATAACCAAAATCAGTTTATATTAATAATTTTAATTAGTGAATGGGATGGATAGATTAATGTTTTAAAAATTAATACAGTATTTGCTTTTCAGTAGATAAGCAAGGAATATTATAACTTATATTTATTGTACAGGTCAGAGTTTTCAGTGCTTTCAAGTTTCTTTTTCTCTTTGTTTTTTATAAAAAGTAGTTCTCTTCCATTTAGTAATAGATTGGTGGAGCAGTTTTATATATATATATATATATATATAAAAAAGTATATACTTTTTTTTTTTTCTTGGTCATGTTAATCATTTATCAGGCACTCGTAGTGTTCAGTCCACAGTCTGCCACCTTGGCTTTGTTTGTTGGGTGATGACGTCCCCAAATTTGTTGAATCTTGACCTCGTGTTTGTTGTATGTATGGACCAAAACATTTTCATTCGAATAATAATGTAATTTTAGAATTTGGTGTGTAAAAGTTAAATTGAACTTTGATTATATAAGGAGTACTTTGCACATACAGTATAATGTTCTCGGCTTTTTTATTTTCTTCTCAGTTCTGCCAAGTGGTGGTGTTTACTTTGAAATATTTTTTCTGATATTAAACATAATAAATACATTTTTTATTTTTTTTCCAATTTGTTGTCGTTTCTAAGAACGTAATGTGTATTGTCCCAGTTTCAGAACAAAACCGTAAGTTAAATTCCAAGCAGTTAAAGTTAAATTTACAGGTGAACTGTGAAATTACTTTACCGTGCATTATTTGAACTGGCCTTTGTATTACATTCTGCCAAACGCTGTGCTTTGGGAGCTTAACACAGGTGTCATGGCACCAAGACAGTATATCATACTCTATAAACTATCAAGTTAATTTGATCTGGCTCAGCAATGCCATAGTAACCAAACACAAGAATGTTTAATGATAAATTAATTTTCAATGCGTGAATAGGGATTTTCGTCTTCAAAAGATTTTTGGATGCATTTGTTGTGTATGCAAATTTTTCTGCACAAAACTCTAGGAAGGTTTTCTTTCATGGCTTGCTCTTGCACTTGAAAAACTAAGTGATCCTTATTCCTGTCTAAAGAAGGTAAGAGCATTTATCACTTGGTTGACCAGAGGAAGACAATATTTAATATTGCTGTCTTAGGTTAGCTTGTCGTCGTTCATACAACTCTGGCACTTTTGAATGATTTATTTTTATTTTAGTGGCTTAAATGTTTCCAGGTTACTGTAATTGTAAATGTGTTGTCTTGAAGGCATCAGTTCAAAATTTATTCAGATTTTTTTTAACATAATGAAAGTGTTTGGTTAAATTTTGATTGCAGAGCTTGTGTAATGATAATTTTATAATGTGACTTGATGGGTTAGGCAAAATATTCTTATAATTTCTGGGTTTCGACCATTTAAATCTTGGAGCAGTAATTATAGCAAGGCCAAGACAAATGAGTAAACTGTTTATGAATTTGGAGAAAGTTGACCAGTTTGATTGGTTGAATTTTGTCCGTATTTACCCTTTTTTCTCCCCTATGTAATATTCACAACTGTGTGTCTTATGACGTGATATGTATAAAGAATGTCTAAAGTTATTATTGACAGATGGAGCAAGATGGTGTCTTCCTTGTGTTCTGACAGCCCTGAGAAATATGCTTGTCATTAGATTTGCTATTGGCCTTTGACCCCAATTGTCCTCTTAATTAATGAAATATGCAAGTAAGCAAACGTTATCCAAATTAGTGGTCGTCGAAGCTCGATATTTTGCGTCAAGTCAAAAGTAAGGCACACCGAGTTGTTTGTTTACCATTTTCTTGCTCAGTTTCCTTGCTGAGGTGTTTTGATAAGTCACACAAGGTCGGCAGTTAGGGCTCCCATGTCATCGTTGAGTTAATAGCAGTGCTGTGTTAGTGCACATGACAGGTTAGATGTTGGTAATTAATAGGTATTCCAAGCTATTCAACCTTTTGTTTGTCTTGTGTGCACAGTTACATTAATTTTGCGAGTCATTGTAAAGAAAGTGTTCATTTACTGTTGCAAATAGTTTTGTACTAGGACAACTTACTTAGTGTTTTTATGTTTTTATACTTGTAAATGAAACCAATAGGATTCCTCAAATTTGTAGTATGTGGCATATTTAGTTTTTAAAATGTACATTTAAAGGGAAAATCTGAAAATAGAGACAATGGCACTGGACTATTATCATTGGTCATGTCCATGGCCTACAAACAGTTCTGAGGTCAAGATGTATGTTATAGGTACCTAAAACTATGGTTGGAACTTGTATACAGAAATATGAAATGTTTTCAACCCATTGACACGTTGAGGGAACTCATTGCATTTAATAAATTAAAAACTCCATCAAGTAAGCCAATGCTTATTCACGTGTTCTTCGAGAATGTGACGGCACACACAGGTGAACGGGGTTGATATTTGCATGTATATACATATTTATTATTAGACAGTGAACCACTTGCATTGTAATGAAAAGTTCACCTGCTGAATTATTAGGGACGTGTTTGTCCTATTGAACCCTCTCTTTGGGGTTACAGTTTGCCAGTCTCCATTTATTCGTGCACTCTAGGTGTCCGTACCTGAGAATTTATTGCATCAAATAGCCAGAATTTATTAATTGGATCCATAGCATTTGCAAGGACTTGGTGCAACACTTCTCAGCCCAACCTCCCCTGCACAGAACTTGATGAAGGATACTCAAGTGTGGAGTGTAATAATCATTAGCCAAATGCAGGTAGTCCAAATATGCTGTGCCAGGTAACTGTATTATTGAGGCTTGTGCTCCTTTGTTTACCAAGATAAAGCCTTTCCAATATGTTATCAATGGCTGGGATGGATTGGGCATGTTGCATTGATATTTAAAAGATATTTAATTAACCAAAGAGGTATAACAGTGGACCTGGAAAAAGCACTATATGCTGTATGTAATTTATTATTTAAAAGCAAACATTTTATGTAAGGTAAAATTGGCCTGCAATGACATGGCCAAGATAATTTGATAGCTCCATGGTTTTCCTCCACGTTTAACGTACAATGTAGAGTAACGGAAGAAATCCTGAAACACGGAACATTTGTAAATAGAAAGTCCACTGATAAGAGGTGAAATGGTATATTGTGTCATGAACAGTTTATTGGTTCTTTATGGATAGGATGGGCTTGCTTTTGTCCAATGACTTGCTTGAACATCATTAATAAAGTGTTATTTGTGACGGTAGGATTGTTTTTGTCAACCTTGCGGTGATAATTTGCGAGTGGTGGTTTGATTGTGCTACGTGTCTTTTAATTAAGGATGATTACGTTACAGTACAACTTTGCTATTTCTAAAAAAAGTTTTTAATATAATACCCTCAGTAACCCAGTATTGTATATGAAGTTGTTTTATGGCTTGCAGTTATCATGGATGGTGCCATGAGGTGGTGAGAGGGAGAGGGTGGCTTCACTGCTGCTATGATCCCAAGGGCTGTTAAGAATGACCTTAAGGGGCAGGGGCCCCAATTTTCTCATGCCTCCTCAAATGCACTCAAATTGTTTGTGCATAACCTACATGGTCAATGCTCCCATTTTTCATAATTGATCAATATAACATAAACAGGAAAACAAAACAAAGATGAACATTTCATTCAAATTAACTTAACAAATGTAAAGTTTCACCACTTATTCATTATGAGCTCGGAATGGTGCATAACATTCATTTTCATTAATATAAAATACTGTTTGAGAGACTAGTCTATTGTAAAAAAAAAAAAAAAAAAAAAAAAGTGGCCTTCAAAATGTGCAAAATTTAGACAAAAATTTACAAAGTTAATTTGAAGTTATGGGTTTATAACTTCAAAAAGTTAATGATTACCCATTCCAGTCTTTTAGAACCCTTCATGCTTTAATAATTGTTGTCAATTCTAAATACTGTATGAAGAGGGCAACACTGTTTGTACCACATCTTGTAACGACCTTTCTCTCTGCATCTCTTAACATAGTTTTAGAATTTGATTACAAGGTCATCGGTGACATACATGAACATGGTCTTTAATACTCTTTTTACGTGAACCGTCCCTCGATAGAATTCTTGGTGACTCGGATACTTTTGATATCGTTCGCCTTATGCGTTTTTGTTCTCGTATTGGCATCCTTGGTGATATTTAGCGCCCTCTGATTATTTTGCGTATTTGATGGTGCTACATAGCCTTCCCGGTTTGGTGCCTTCTTTTGATAATTACTTACTTACTTTTACGTGAACCAAGTGTTGCTCCACTCTTCATCCCACACTAGCTCCTGCTCACCAACTTCATCAGCAATGGCAAGTTAGGAATAATATTATATTACTTTGAAGTTAAGGGCTCTGGAGCATTCAAGTTTCTAAGCAAGTGAGGTGGGATGAGCAAGACTAATGTCAGACAACAAGAGCTTAGCACCATCTTTATGCACAAGTTTCCTTCCATGGAGCGGCAAGGATGGACTGAGATGAGACCGAGACACGTCTAATAGTAAGTCCAAGCAAGTTTTTTGTTACAAGAAAAAATAAAATGGTTACAACCAAGACAGAAAATACATTGGGTATATAAAGTCTCAACATCCAGCTGGACCTTAGTCATGCTGTGACACCTGCAAAGGTCAAATTGAGAGTGTGGCAATGATTATGTTAAACCACAAAGGGCAAACTTTGACCATGCATTATTACCTAAATTTACCCGAAAGCCACTGACACTAGTGGCCTCGGCGAGGACAGGAAGCTGGCGGCTTGTCGAAGGTCCTCCCACTTGCCTTTGTCTTGATTTGAAAAGTTTACAGCACTACTAATTGGGGCAATTAATAGTCTTCCAAGTTTGGTACCTTCATTCAAATATTTTTTTTTACATATCTCTGGAATCCTGACTGCTTTGCAAACATCGTAATCATTAGTTTTATTCAAGAATCGCAGAGCCACTGTTCAGTCTTTCATTTTGCTAAATGGTGAAGATTTTATCTCTGCTCTGAATGCTAATACTGTCCTTAATCCTTGAGTTGAAGATTCACAAGATTCTAAATTAAAATCTGATTTGGCATCTGTGTTTCACGTTATTACTGAATCGGTCCCTTGAAAAATGAGCTCAGCATTTATCAAATTTTAGTACTGGTTCTTTTCCCCCCTCCTGAATTCCTTACTTAAGCTAACGCATCTAGCCTTAATGCTGGGCTGTGTGAAGGTAAGAGCCAAGTAAAGTAGGACCTTTGTGAATGGAGTTCAACCTCACATTGGTACTATAACCTTTGGATACTTAACAAATAAAGCTCTTCTAACTTTACTTCTTATTATTGTGCAATTATTTTATATTAAGATTTTTTTAATTTATTTTTTTAACGCTGGATCACTTCTTCTACTGACAGCCATGAGGGCTGTGCCGTGTTATTTAAATTCCTGTAAGACCTTCATTTGACCATATGAATTATCTCGAGAGAGAATGTTTATATTTTGCCTATTTATATAACTTCGATGGTAAACATCGTGAAACAAAGGAACTAAATTATTTGCAGTTTTCCGTTGAAAACGGGCAATGTTTTAATTCGTAAATGAGAAATTGGTATAATATTTCTTTTATAAATCTTTGTCAAATTAATTTTTGTAGGTTGGAAGGCGAGCCGAATTCAGGCCTGCAGCAACACGTCATAGATATTAAGACGACATAACTCTTCCAGGTGTAGATGATCGGTATTTCTCAAAGTGGTCCACTTGGACCCCCAAGGAAGAAATTTCAAGTCTAGAGGAAGGACATTTGGCCAAGAAAAGATATGGAGAATTCGGGAGGATTATATTTATGATGCAAATTATTCTTTTTTTTTCCGCAATTTTTGGTGGGAAAGATTTGGAAGTGTCTGGGCCGCTAAAGGTAGGATTGGGATCAGAGACTTTCAGAACCACCGACTGACAGAAGACAGTCTTCGAAGATAGTCGTCAGTTCGAGACGTCAGTCTCGAACTGACGTCTTCCCAAGTGTTGTCTAAACGTGATTATGGCTGTCCCTTGTGTTCGTCAGCTTGAACCCTTACTTGTCTTGACGATTTGCTTTATACTGACTGGCTGTTAAGCTCGAGTGTATTTCGCTCTTTTCCGATCTAGTTTATATATGATCAAACTATTGTTCATCGTTACAAGACCTCATTAATTAGTTGTTTTTTTTTATACACGTGGGTACAGGACCAGACGACTGACTCCTGAAAGCAGGCCGAGAGCTCATGTTAATGAGTTATGGGGTCGTGTCTGAGCCACAGTATCATGTATGCCGTCGCAGAGAGACCGCATACGGACCCGCTCCTGTGCCGTGCTACTTGTAACTTTTTGTTCCCAGTGACTGAATCTAAAAACAACAACAACAACAACATGATGTTAATTAAGAATTAACTACTAATTTTTCCTAAACAAGAAAAAAGTTAACAATAAGGTACCCAACTACTACTCGGTGAACAGACGCGAACAATTAAGTATGGCGCCTAATCAATCCTCCCTTGCCAGGAGTCGAACCCGAATCAAATAGCTCGCGAGACGAAGGGAGATTGTGTTACCACGACGCCACCCAGGACTGTATTGACTCCGATACTTCGTGTGGACTCTCCACAATCCCTGTTCATGTTTGTAATACATTTTAATCAATGGACTTGTTTCAGATCCTACATGCGTTGTATTCCCCCTCACCCCCTACCTTACCATGAACACGGCACTCTAACAGAATTAAGACTCGGGAAAGACCTGCGTAAATACTGGTTTGGAAAGAGGGCTGTTAATTTATGGAAAAGAATTACTAGGTGGCATAATAACCGTGGGATCACGTGTGTTTCGAGCATAGGTGAGACATTTACGAATGAGATTGGGTTAATAAATAGGAGCTTTAGCTTACAGGGCAATCAAAATTCTGCAGTTTCCATTATTATGTGCTATGTCAGTGAATACTATATCCATAATGTGTTTCCAAATGCGTTTTATTTCCCGAACAGGATGAGACACGTTCTCTTAACGCCTTATGAATCTGTTAACCTATGCTGTATGCACCTGGGAGTTAGGCAGCTGTTGTGTGTTGCATCAAGGAAGACAGTCGTCGGCCTAGGCTCTTGGGCAACCTCAATAAGCCTAACAGGCTTCCTGTCAACGGGGGACCACACAAGGGGGAGGGAAATATCAGGGTAAAACGCCAAGCCATTGCGACTAAGAAATTGGAAGGGTTCAGGATAAGGATTTGGGATGGGACGGGGGAAAGGAATGGTGCCCAACCACTTGGACGGTCGGGGATTGAACGCCGAGCTGCGTGATGCGAGACCGTCGCTCTACCATCCAGCCCAAGTGGTTGGGCCACGTCACATAAGAGTATATAATAGTACAATATGTTAATTGATAATTGTGGAATATCAATTTTGTAACACTAAAAAAAAAATTGTGTTGAGAACTACATTGTAATTTCTAAATTTATGTCTTGCGAGACAGTGTAATAATTGGTATGGATGAACGGCCCGAACTTAATGGTTCATTTCCCGCCCCAAAATGTAATTAGAGTGATGAAGGACGTTCATCAAGTACACGCATTAATGAAGATTAAGGAATTTCCCGGGAAGGTTGGGCCAACCACCTGTGGGCAAGTGTGTGCTGAAGGTTGGCAAGCGAGGGAGGCTTAGTGTCCCCTCTGATGTGTCCCCTTGTCCTTGGTTTGGCCTGGCCTGACCTGCCCTTGTTCGCCTATCACTCCCCTCAGAAGGTTTCCCGCCAAAATGGCCGCCATTACGCGCCCCTTCCCGCCAAAATTGGCTGTGATGGCAATGTGTTAGCGGCCATAGAGTTGCAACCCGCGAGAGCCAAGCATTGAACGATGATCCCCATGGCCCGAGGCATTAGGGTGAAAATCGCCGCAGTTTATAAACTGGGGAGCGACCCGCAAGTCACGTGGGAGGGGGCGGGCCAAGAAGAGTGTTCTGCTAATTAGGTCGAGATTAGGGCGCTGTCAAGGGGACTATTAGGCGATTTGTCCTTAATTAAAACTGTTGACGACCTGGTGTGACGTATGGGCGCGCGGGGATGCCACAGCTTCGCCTCCTGCTGCTTGTTGTCTTCCTCGACACCAGCTGTCATCACCACCTGTGTCTTAGGATATTATTCCACCTGATAAGAATCTTGAATATCTGTGGATCACTTGGCAACTAATAACCTTTTAAACACTTCTCACTGAAGGCGGAAAAAATAATATGGCTCGCTGTGAA